AGATATATATAAATAATTCAAGATATGTACAGTACACGAGTCAAAACATCAGCAGGATTAAGTAACGCGTTCGAGGTCAAAGTGCTCATCAGGGATCTGCTTTAAGCCCTTTTCTATCTAACCTAGTAATGGACTATCTAACAAACCATATTCCAGCACCTTTGCCGTGGACCATACTGTATGCCGACGATATAGTACTGGCGGCAAATACTGCAAGAGACCAGCAAGAAATTTTAAATACGCAGACACACTCTTTAGAGAAGGACGGACTTCGAGTGAGCAGAAGTAAGACGGAGTACATGAAATGCCCCTTTAGTGGAAATAGAACTCCTGAAACCATATTGGATCAACACCTATCCCCACTGTGAACAAGTTTAAATATCTGTGATCTTTGTTCACGCCGGATGCCAATGTGGAGACTGATGTTGCGCACCGTGTAAATGTAGCGTGGCAGAAATGGCGGTCGCTGACAGGAGCTCTGTGTGATAACCGTATGCCCATAAAAACAAAGGGTAAAGTATACAAGACAGCCGTCAGGCCAGCCCTACTGTACGGTTCCGAATGCTGGACAGTAGTCAAGAAAGCGCATGAACAGATGGCACATGTAAAAGAAATGAAGATGTTGCAGGTGGGGTGACCAGTATGGACAGAGTTCGGAATGAATACATACGGGGAAGCTATAAAGTCGCATCAATCACAGACAAAATGACGGAAAATCGCCTTAGATGGTACGGCCATATCATGAGACGGGACGAAGATCATGTGGTGAAGGTCGCATTGGGCTTGCCAGAACAAAAGAAAGGTAGAGGCCGCCCGCCATCGACCTGGTGGTCGAACATCGAAAGAGACCGTAAGAAAGCCCAATTGCCAAAACCGACAACCCAGGACAGATCAGCCTGGCGCCGTAGAGTGAGGAGACCCGACCCCAGATAACGGGAACAGGGACGGATACAAAAAAAAAATGAAGACAAATGCAATACGATTAGTTTAATCAATACTAAAAGCCTTCAAACATTCTCCTAATCGTGAGTCAAGAAAAAATTAATTATTTTAACTGGTTAACTCAGTAATCATACATACAATAATATTAATCATTCGGAAAATAACCAAGAGGAAAAATATTTTAATTTGTTATTTTGACAATAAAGAAACATTTTTTTAACCGACCATATATTAGGAATTTATAGAACTTCAGGCAACGCTCTGTTTATGTTTAGCTCGGGATCATAATAAAAAACCAACCAAAAAATAAGCCAAGTTGAAGATTTTTTACCCGACCACAATTTTTTTTTATTGCCTAGATTTGTGGACGATTTCACAGCCCACCTGGTGCTAAGGGGTCACTGGAGTCCATAGACATCTACAACGTAAATGCCACAACCTATCTTTGAATATGAGTTCTAAGGGACTCAGTATAGTTACAACGGCTGCCCCGCCCTTCAAACCGAAACGCATTACTGCTTTACGGCAGAAATAAGCAGGGTGGTGGTATCTACCCGTGCGAACTCACAAGAAGTCCTACCACCATAAAACACTTTTTATGGATTTATTTTAATATTTGTATTAACCATCAGAGGCGGCTTTACTTATGGCCCAGAGTGTGGACGCAGCGTTAGGGGGCGTCGGCCTTAGTACTTTCAATGAACCTGTTACATTTGTACCTATTCCATTTTGACCGCGCGCTTACTAGAGAACGCCCTAGGGTAAACATTTCACACCAGCGCTACACGGGGTAGAAAGGCCTTTGTCAATCATATTGGAGGACTTATCATAATAATGTTAGGTAAGCAAGTTAGTGATCGCAGTGTGGTTTTAATATCCCGGAGAACACCTTAACCACCTTTACGCCTGGAGAATACGGTTATATAATAGGAATAATACCGGTCATTATAATGAGTTGTGTGGTCTAATGGCTGATTACTGTAAAAGGGCAATATGGAGACAAATTGCCCAAGAAATGACTAAAACAAAAATCATAATAGAAATTCAAAACACATGAACAAACAAAATTAAAAATCTTAATATAGCGTTAGGATATACATATTTGTCATAATATTGTGTCCTAAAAATCATATTTTCATTTCTTATTGTTGTTTAGCTTTTTGTTTACCGAACATCGACTTAATTTAAGTTCTAGACTTATCTTTTTCTGTTCTCGTGTGTATGAAAATTAAAGATAAAAGAGAGCCGAAGATTTTTTTTAGAACATTAATAACGTAAATGCCGCCACCTACCATGAGATAGGAATTCTAAATCTCAGTTCTTACAGGACAACGGCCGCCCCTTTAAACCGAAATGCCCCACCATCATTAATTACGCAAATTACAATTTTTGCGGGTTTAACTTATTACTTATATACAACTTATATACTCTTGTGAGTCCGCGCGCGTAGGTACCACCACCCTGCCTATTTCTGCCGTGAAGCAGTAATGCGTCTGAAGGGTGGGGCAGCCGTTATAACTATACTGAGATCTTAGAACTTATATCTCAAGGTGGGTGGCGTATTTACGTTGTAGATGTCTATGCTGTCTATGCATATCCGGGCTGCAGTAACCACTTAACATCCATCCAACTAAGCAATAAAAAAAATAAAAAACATTGGATATATATAGAGTTATTAGAAGAGGAAGTTATTCGGCAACATTTTGTGAAGTAAGTAAGTATTTCATGCGAAACATCGGTATCTGCGGGCGCGATACGATCACCGGACACATTCGCATGACTCGATAGGAATACAGCGTCGATATAATCTTCTGTTTTAAGCCACGACTACTTTGAAAATATTATTTTTATATTTCCTACCAAATCCAAATCACGGTGTAGAAAACGAATGAAGCCGTTGCGTCTGTAGACACGCTGCTCAAATTCAAATTCAAATTCAAAATTCAAAATCATTTATTTCAACTTAGATGTCAGTATGACACACTTGTTGAATGTCAAAATACAAATAACAATGTTAGCTCTACCACCGGTTCCAAAAAAAGCCACAGTCCTGAGAAGAACCGGCGAAACAAACTCAGCGGGCTTTTTTTTTTTGTTTTTTCTCAAACATTTTCTTTTTTTTAAATAAATAAAAATATTTACAATAAAGGAAAAACAAGTAAAAAAATACAATTAAAATAATAATAATAATAATGAAAAATGACAAGGTCAGGAGCGAGCGCCTATATAATATTATTATAATATTACTTACGCTAAAATTATTTATTAAGGACTTCCTCTGTCAAATTCTGTTCTGTAACGACTCATAGTCATACTTATGGTTTGTGAGATTCGCGTGCCAAATTAGCCCAACCACCTAGAATGGGTGGCCTCCGATGATTCGCCTCACCTACAAGTTTTGGTACATTACCTAATAAGAATGTCGGTTAGCTGGTAGATAACTCAATTGTTGAGTTAAGCTCGCCATTTTTTATATCTTATCCCAATTACTGTATTATATTAACTGTGTGTACAAATAAAGAATAAATAATAATGTTGTTCGGTGTAATACGGCCGAACATCTTAGTAAGCTATAACGCATTTAGAGCATTGAAGATTTGTACAATCTAGAACATTTGTAGAGCATAGAACATATTTGAGTCGACTATTATCAAAGCCGGCAATCTGACTTTTGGACAATGATTGGTAAATCAGAAAAACGAATTATTGACTTTGTATTCCATTGGCAGTCACAAAACTCTTCGGAACGACATCTTAGATAAATAACAGGTTAACTATTAACCTTTATTTAATGCAGGTTTTGAACCTTATTCTTTGAAGGAGACGATTATATTCAAATCAATCTGTATTGACATATCAATAAATTTTTTTTGTCCAAATGCACAGATTGCCACCTTTGATAATAGACGACTCATTTGTAAGTGATTGTGAATTAAAATGAGTTAGTAAAATCCAGACTTATCATTGGTGAACAACTACTGCAAACCAGCTCTGTGCCCCCACAAATGTCGTTTCGATTTAATGCGCAGGTCCAACAAAACATTAACTCACTCACTGGGTATAAATAAGGTAAAAAAACTCCGAAAACTTTAATAGCACGAAATATATCTTTAAAATTTATTTCGTAAATATCTTAAGCAATAAATATCGGGGGAAATATGACCACAAATTTAAATTTCGTGCGTCACAGAGACCGCGAAGTAAATTTGCGTCACTAGCGTATCTTGATTTAATCTTGTTTTACTGAATTTATTTAAAACTAGCGACCCGCCCTCGCTTCGCTTCGGAAACATTAAAACACACATGAAACCAAAAAAATAAAATGAAAAAAAAATGAAAAAAAAGTAGCCTATGTTCATCAGAGACAATGTCGGCTTCTAATGGAAAAAGAATTTTTCAAATCGGTCCAGTAGTTTCGGAGCCTATTGGAAACAAACAAACAAACAAATCTTTCCTCTTTATAATATTAGTATAGATGATTTAATTACCAATTTTTCTAATGAAATACGTACTCAACAAATGTTGACGATTGACTTCAACGGTGAAGGAATAAGGTCGTGTGATAAAAATCAAAGCCGTAAAATTATAATTTGCTGGTGGTATAAATTACTGGTGGTAGGACCTCTTGTGAGTCCGCACGGGTAGGTAGGTACCGCCACCCTGCCTATTTCTGCCGTGAAGCAGTAGTGCGTTTCGATTTGAAGGGTGGGGCAGCCGTTGTAACTATACTGAGACCTTAGAACTTATATCTCAAGGTGGGTGGCGCATTTACGTTGTAGATGTCTATGGGCTCCAGTAACCACTTAACATCAGGTGGGCTGTGAGCTCATCCACCCATCTAAGCAATGAAGACTCAAAAGAGGTCCTACCACCAGCGGGACGATGGATGCATCAGATTGGCTTTACATTGCATTACATACAAACTATATGTCAATCAATAATTATCCGTCTCTCTCTTACCTTCTAACGCGACATCTCCTATCTCTATCACTCATTCGTGTTCCATATCTGTAATTCAACCATACATTCCGTTCCTACATATATTTTTTGTTTCGCAGGTGGAAAATGTGTCAATAAATTACGGCAACGTCTTCGCGAAGTCAACGAACAGAGATGGCGGTCCGAGAAGCAGCAGTTATCGTAGAGTGTGCCAACAAGTCATATGGACAACAGAACGTGCTCAAAGACCTAGACTTGACCGTCGAAAAGGGCACTATGTAAGAAACATTCTTATTTATTGCATTTTTTTTTTAGTTGATGATTGGACGAGCTCGCAGCCCACCTGGTGTTAAGTAGTTACTGGAGCCCATAGACATCTACAACGTAAATGCGCCACCCATCTTGAGATATAAGTTCTAAGGTCTCAAGTATAGTTACAACGGCAGCCCCACCCTTCAAACCGAAACGCATTGTTATTGTTTAAGGGTTGAGGTAACCATTTAATACCAGGTGAGGTTATTTAAGCAATAAAAAGATACAATTTGAAATTAGCCGGCTAAACATGCGCTACAAAAGCGGGGCAGCACCACCAGCACCCTAAACGCGTTATTGTATTGAACACGGAGAGCGTTGTACGATCTTTGAGTATATCCAGCCCACAAGCTGCACATGTAAAAGTTAGTACACTAGGCCCTAAAGAGGGTGACCTTGACTTTAAGTGAACACCGTGCAAACCTGCGAGCTATCATGTTTGCTCTAACCGACAACGCTCTCCGCTCTCGTTCAATATCTTCATCATCTTTGAGATCAGGGGTCAACACATGGCCGAGATATTTAAATTTATAAACTCTTGTCAATGGCGTTCCGTTGAGTACTACGGGAGGTATTTTATCATGCGTCCCACCCCTGGTCTCAAAGACCATCTCCATAATATATTTTATTTTTCAAAATTAAAATAACTAATTTATTGCAGAAGCTTTATCATATTATGTTACATTAATATATTCCAAAAACATAGATAAATATTTGTTTTTTATTATATTACATTAAAAAAACCTAATTAAATTTCTTTAATTCCAGAAAATGTAAAAATCGATTATTATTTTAAATGTCCAAGGAAATAAATTGTTTAAATCATTTTGATTATTAATTTTTACCAAAAGTGCCAAATTTATAATACACAAATAATGGATGAATTTGTTTAATTATCAATTAAACAGAAATTATTAATTAATAAAATTCATTAATTATATTGAGCAATCTTGATAAGACTAAAAAAAAAATTTACTTTCAAAATTTTGCCGCCCTAAAAAATTTGCCGCCCTGGGCCCTTGCCCTGACTGCCCCTAGTGTAAATCCAGCACTGGTCGTAGCGTACACATCTAGAACGTAAATGCCGCTATCCATCTTGAGACATGAGTTCTAAGGTCTCAGTTTTGGCAGTACAACAACCGCCCAAGCCTTCAAACCGAAACGCATTACTGCTTCACGGCAGAAACAGGCAGGATGGTGGTAGCTACCCGTGCTGACTCAAACGGTCCAAGTATGATGTTGCATTTTAACTACTTAAAGCACACATACATACATACAGCCAAGTCAAACATATTTAAGACGATTACTGCAAGACGTAATAATACACTATAGACATAGTCAGCGTCAAAAGGTAGTCTATGGTTATTGACTAGAATATAAAGTACGCATAACACTGACGACCATTAGCTCATTCATCATCGTACTAGTACCCACAGTATTTTATACACCTTAATTATAAATATTAATCCTCCCTTTTATACACTGAACCTAAAACTCGGTAGGCAGCGGCTTGGCTCTACCCCTGGCATTGCTGAAGTCCATGGGCGATCAGGTGGGCCGTTTGTTGCCATGCTCGTCTGCCTACAAGGGCAATAAATAAAATAAAAAATAAAACTTATTCCCACATTGACTTGGGAAGCGAACGCCATTCTCAAAGGAGATTAGGTGTATTTTAGACGTTGAACGTTCTACGTGCAACCTAACCTCCTCAGCCCGTTGAGTTTCTCGCCGGATCTTCTCAGCGGGTCTCGATTCCGATCCGGTACTCACCTCCTAGCTGAGCCCCTGCTCGTCACCTATCTTTGTGAAACTAGAAAAGGCTTTAGGGCCACCAGTAATCCCTCAATCATAAAAAAAAACTATCGGAAACTCAAAACTACAAACAGCAGAACTATACAAGAAGAAGACACGATAAATTCATTAAATTAATACCAAGTACTTATTGTTCGATTAAAATGCAAAATTTTCATGTTTTCACTATTCATTCTTTTAATTATACTTCTTTCTTGTCTAGTCTAGTTTTTGTTAATAATTATTGTAATTAATTATAAAAACAGGTACTCTCAATGCCGCTTTAAAATATAAAACTAAACCAAAAGCAAAACTTGTTATTCGTTCTTACTATTTAAGATCGACGCTAATTAGAAATTCAAAAAAGTTTTGTTGATCAACTGGAATTGGCGACTGGAATATGATTTAATTGAATTAATTTTAACACGGAGAACGCAAAAAATGTAAGAATCTAAAACGATAGTATACATATAATAAAATAATACGTTAATTTAGTATTTGTTGGTTTAAATGTATGGATATAGTTGTTGATATAAGCTGTAGCTTATTTTATGTGTGGAGCTATAAAAATGCCGGAATGTTCATACAAACGTTGGTCAATTACTGGTGGTACGGCGTCTGTTTGAACGGGTAGGTACTACCACCCTGCCTATTTCATTCGTGAAGCAGTAATACGTTTCAATTTGAAGGGTGGGACAGCCGTTGTACTGTAAGACACTTGGAGCACATTTCAACATGGGTGGCTTCATTTACGATGTTATTGTTTTTTTTTATTGCTTAGATGGGTGGACGAGCTCACAGCCCATATGGTGTTAAGTGGTTACCGAAGCCCATAGACATTTACAACGCAAATACGCCACCCACCCTGAGATATAAGTTCTAAGGTCTCAAGTATAGTTACGACGGCTGCCCCGCCCTTCAAACCGAAACACATTGTTATTGTTTAAGGGTTGAGGTAACCATTTAATACCAGGTGAGGTTATCTAAGCAATAAAAAGATACAATTTGAAATTAGCCGGCTAAACATATTTGTATATATTTTTGAACCAAAACAAAAAGCAAAGTCTTAGTGAGTATAATTACCACGAAAAAGAAAACATTCAAGCTGTAGGAGGAACATTCTTCAGTGAGCATTCCTGTACTTTATCATTGCAAATTGAACCTTGTTCTCTTTATAGATATGGGCTGCTTGGTCCGTCGGGCTGTGGGAAAACGACGTTGCTCTCCTGCATAGTCGGAAGACGGAGCCTTGATAATGGCAATGTCTGGGTGCTTGGTGGGAAGCCAGGAGAGAAGGGCAGCGGTGTGCCTGGCCCCAGAGTGGGATATATGCCGCAGGTAACAAACTTATTTTTTTTTATACCTCACATATGTAGGTACATCCAGAACCAAATCAAGTAAAATGTACTGTTAACATTATAAGATAATAATTTAATATTCATTCTTTTTACCACACTTTATGTCGCGTGAACATGGAAGACCTGTGCTCTTGAGAAATAAACCATAGCCTATATCTATATAATTATAAGTACAGTAAATTTGTTGTCATGACAACAGGCACGTGGTCCTACGACTATATATTTGTAAACACTGTTAAATTAGGAGTTATACATTAAAAATATTAATACGTGAAGCAAAAACTTTGTACCCCTTTTTACGAAAATTGCACGGACGGAGGAGTGTGAAATTTCTCACACTTATAGAGAATATAGAGAAGGAGTGCACAGTGCTAATTTTTTTTTTAAATAATGCATAAAAGATACTTTATCGATCGATAAAGAAAACATTACACACACTACCATGTATTTGACACAACACATACATAAAAATATACTCTTTGTTTACTGTCAATTGGGAAACTTTTGTTATTGTTTAAAGTCTGTGGTCGAATTGAAAATAGATTAATATTGTTTGTCTTTAATATCATTGATATATAGTGCAGTTTTGGCCAATACTGTGACTATATTATCGAAATATAATAGTGTTTGACAATAGAATCATAATAATGTTTAAACTTATAATTTCAATTAAGTATATTCGAATCTCGACTACTGCACTAGTTATTATCAAAGACTCAAATTATTTTCAAACATCAAAATTGGTACTATATTCTATATATAATATTATTATTGCCTTAAATTCGATGTAATTTTTGTTAGTTCAAATTAATCAACGCCGGCATCTCAAAGATGACAAGTATTACTTATTACGTTGCGACAGTGAATTTTGAGTGATTCTATGTACTTAGAAAAACCATAAGGAATTTTTTAATGTCCCATAACTTGTTTCAATCATAAGCTATTTACTTACCATAATGACTCCATCCATGTAATCATGTATCCGTTAAAATATTAATGTGTTAAAATATTATAACTACGTGCAAAGTCATGTCATATCCAAATATGTTAAATTAATATAAACAATTAAAATAATCTAGAATGAATCTACTCAATAAACCGGTCAACGTAAAATATACATTTTCGTGTATCGATATATGAACGTACAAAACGAATAAATGTAAAAATATAACCTGTTTATATCGATACTAGCGGCCCGCTCCGGCTCCGCTCGGGTTTTTAACAAAAATTTCAACGATATTTGACTTTATTTTATTTTTTTACATAAAAGAACACTTATTGAGGCACAACTATAATAGTTAGACATACGCTGTCACGACACTTTTTGTAAATAATAATGTGTTCTACAAAGTCGTAGTACATTATTTTATTCTATCATAGTTCTCGCAGGGCACGCGATGTAAAGAATATTTTAGGTAATTTTTTTACACCTTGGGTTACATTATTGGAGTTTTAGTAAAGATTCCTAATTTTTTTCAAAAAAGATTATATCCTATATCACTCGGGTATAATGTAGCTTCCAAACAGTGAAAGAATTTTTCAAATCGGTTCAGTAGTTTCGGAGCTTATTCAATACAAACAAACAAACAAATCTTTCCTCTTTGTAATATTAGTATAGATATACCGATTTAAAGAATGGCCTGTCGTAAGCAAAAGACAAAGAGTCTAATATTAATTACATCTGTGTTTCATTATGACCTTTTTTGTTGGTTAGGAAGAACCGGTCACGTCCCAATGTGATTGTCGCTGATTGAGTGAAAAAAATATATTTTTTTAAATAGCTCACGCGTCACCTTAAATGCATAGAAGATACAAAACATTCATTTTTATTTATAGAGAAGAGTCATCGTAAGTTTATGAAATGACAAACGCGCTCCGTGGCCTTTTTTATTATCCTTGTAGGCAGACAGGCAATGCCAATGCTCGGCAAGCCGCTGCCTATCATTTAATGCTCTCCACAAGCCTTGTTTGAAGAAGGACATGTCATAGCGTTCGGGAAACACCGTAGAGGGGAGCTTATTTGAAAGCCGGATGGTACGTGGCAAAAAAGATCTCTGGAAACGCACTGTGGACGAACGCAGTGGTTCTAGGTAGTATGAATGAACTCTACTCCGGTGGCGGGCGGTGTAATGGTAAAAACGAGATAATGGGATCCACTCAAATAATTCCTCAGTGTATAACAGCCCTGTGGGACATACGGTACAAAATACAGAGAGAACTGAAGACTACGCAGATCTAAAGGCTCCTTTTTTTCCTCTACCTATACGTTGGTAGCCCAACAGGCTATTCCAGCTACGCCCGGACGGGTTGATGAGCTCACGGGTTCACCTGAGACAATTTGCTAACCCTAGCCCTAGCAAGAGCAGTGCTTCGCAGAATCTATCACCCGATCAGAAACGCGAATCACTGAGAAGATCCGGCGAGAAACTCAGTGGGCCCAGAGTTTCCAAACGATTCGGATCGACCGTCTTAAATTTGGTATCTATAATATATATAAAAGAAAGTCGTGTTAGTTACACTATTTATAACTCAAGAACGGCTGAACTGATTTGGCTGAAAATTGGTGAGGAGGTAGCTTAGAACCAGGAGAAGGACATAGGATACTTTTTATCACGTTCCCATTGGGACGTGTCATAAAACGTGGTATAACAAAACGCAACTGATATGTAATAACAAAACGCAACTGACAGCTAAACGTAATATATTCTATGGTTATTTATAGTAGAATTTTGAAGTTGACCAGTTGATGTGTTTGAAACAAACCCTGTGGCGGAACAACGTTGGCCGGGTCTACTAGTTTAGAATAATGAAACACTAGCATCTTTATTTTTGGTAGAGAATTCCTTGTGTCACTCTAATGCAAAAACTACCAATCCATTAACAGCGGTTTTTTTTTTTTTTTTTTTTTTTTTTTATTGCCCTTGTAGGCAGACGAGCATACGGCCCACCTGATGGTGAGTGGTTACCGTCGCCCATGGACTTCAGCAATGCCAGGGGCAGAGCCAAGCCGCTGCCTACCAGTATATACCAGTATAGGTTTTAATATGATAGCTGCATATAACGAAAGAAAGAAATAAAAAAAAATGAATTCAGGATAAAATTTACTAAAAAGTAAAAAGGAAGATATACTAAATTTTAAATCGAACGATTAGGTTCGGGGAAGAAATTTTAATCATAAAATTGACGTATAAATATAATTTCATATAATTACGTACATTTTTTGTTGCTTTGATGGGTGAACGAATTTATAGGTTACTCAAGTCTATCGATATCACTAGTTGAATGACGTGTCGAGATCTCTATTATATTTTAATATAAAGTACTCTACCAAACTCTTTTCGTGAGGAATAGCAGAATCGCGATACACATGCCGGCTCCAGAATTATTTTCATGATACGATAATATTCCTTGATTGTAGAAGTCGTGCATACGATACCGTAACTAATAAATAAATAGTTACTAACAATCACGCCTCACGATTTTTTACAATAAAATCATTTTTTCTTACACTATTTTTAATTCAAATTTATTTTCTATTTTTTAGTTGGATTTTCTATAAAAGCGTATTTTGTTAGTTTTTTAAACTATTATTTATTTTTTAATTAAATTTAAATTTTTCCTAAGTTTTTTTTTCAATTTTTTTAATTATTGAACTGTCATCGGTCCTTAATAAGTGTACCAAATTTTGAGTTAATCCGACACTTTCAAGGGGGTCAAAATCATGTTCAAAGATTCCGTTATAAACATTCACACGTCTGAAGCTAATAAAAGCGTATTAAAAATACAAAACGATTATCCAGTGTTGTTTGTCAAAATTCTTCCCAGATGATAAAAGTACGGTTATTTATCTCCCCAGGACATAGCTTTAGTTGGAGAGTTCACGGTCAGAGATGCTGTATACTACTTCGGTCGCATATACGGCATGGAGCATAAGAAGATGACGGAGCGCTTTGAGTTCCTCAGCTCGTTACTGGACCTGCCCAGTGGGAATCGACTCATTAAAAATTGCTCCGGAGGGCAGCAACGAAGAGTCTCGTTGGCAGCTGCTTTAGTCCACGACCCAGAGCTGTTAATCTTAGACGAACCGACGGTTGGATTGGACCCTGTATTGAGGGAGCAGTAAGTATAATATATTAATAAACTAGCTGACGCGGCAGACTTCGTAGTGCCTCAATCGATAAATAAAGGACCTAAGCTTTTGTATAAAATAAACTGAAACAAAAAGAATCCGTCCGACGGGGGACACATCAAAGGAAAAACAAAAATATACCTTTTAAACCTTCTCTGGGCTTCCGCAAATAATTCAAGACCAAAATTAGCCAAATCGATACAGCCGTTCTCGAGTTTTAGCGAGACTAACGAATAGCAATTAATTTTTATATATACTAGCTGACCCGGAAGACTTCGTACTGCCTCAATCGATAAATAAAAGACCTGAACTTTTGTATAAAATAAACTTGAAACAAACAAAAAGAATCCGTCCGACGGGGGATACATCAAAGGAAATACTAAAAATTGTTAATTTTATTTAATTCCGAGAATTTTCACATTTATCTACCTTTTATATCTTCGCTGGACTTCCACAAATAATTCCACAAATAAAATTAGCCCAATCGGTCCAGCCGTTCTCGAGTTTTAGCGAGACTAACGAACAGCATATAAGAAGTATATTAAGTAAAACCAGCAGATACAAAACATGAAAATTCTCAGTAGCATTGAAATAACAATAGAATAGTCGAGTTCAGTCCTATTGGGATGCATAATTACAGAAGAAGACACATTGTTAAAGAACGTCTTGCTACCAGAAATGAAATAGACAAATAATGAGCATACTTCTACGATGGATTTCATAAAATAGTTACTTAGGGTCTAAGTCGCAAGACCGTATCTTATTGCTAGACTAACAGATTATTATCGAATGGTAAGGTTCTCTGACCTATCATCCATTTGAGCTCTCTCCACTATTTGTATCAGCTATGAGGACTTGTGAATATTAAAGACGTTTTAATTTTGGCATTTAAAAATATTCACATAACATATCACATTCAAAATATGTTTTAATGAAGCAAAGTCGATTAAAAAAACCTGTTGAAACTGAATTTAAAAATCGTAAATTCAAGCAACTTTTTTGTACATTCAACACTTTCAAAGCTAATTTGCAATAATGATTCCAGTCTATTAGATAGATATTCTTCTTCCTATTCGTACACTCTTGACAGAGTGGTCGTGGTCATGCATCAGTCGGATCCTGCGATACCGATGCTTTCGCGATGCGACGCCTATAGATAGATATACAATACCTGTTTTGCATCTCTGAATACGAATATACTGTGCATAGAATTTTAGCAAACATAATTATTGCGGTATAGTATTTAAGTGTGTTTAATCACAAATCATATTCAGAGGATTTTTGAAAATGCCAAAACTACTCTACCTTATTGCCATCTTAAACTATTTATTGTACTGAATGCTCCAGGTATCTGTCTTTTTAAACTCAGAGAACAGTGAAATATATCCGCTTGCATATTGAGGTTAAGGCCTCGAAGCACGCGATTTACGGAGGTACCTCACTCAGCATGTTATATACACATATATACTTCTACGATGGATCCGACACCACACAGTTTAAATATTATATCGCTTCGTCGCTTACTCTTCAAGAGCTTAATTGCTAATAAGTTTTAATTCTGGCGTTTCCAGACAAAACCAGAGATCGGAACATGGTGGAGTGAGTAAGTCTGCTTATGGCGCTTTAGTGATTCAAGACCTATCTAAGATATTAGTCCCAGAAAGTCTTAAACGTTGTGTACATGTCGAAGGTTGAAAAGCTATTGAGTTTAAGCCACATTTCGCTTAGTTTTTTATTTATTGCTTAGATGGGTGGACGAGCTCACAGCCCACCCGGTGTTCAGTGGTTACTGGAGCCCATAGACATCTACAACGTAAATGCGCCACCCACCTTGAGATATAAGTTCTACAGTCTCAAGTATAGTTACAACGGCTGCCCCACCCTTCAAACCGAAACGCATTACTGCGTACGCGATTTCTATCTTTGTATTTAAAGTTGGGTTTTATTAGGTACTAGCTTTTGCCCGCGAGTCGGTCCGCGTGGAATAGTTACTTTGGCATAACGCTAAATTTTACCCCCCTTTCATTTACGTAGAAAGTGAAAATATTTTTGAATTATAGAATGTTAAGGAGCTATTTAAACCCCTATTTTGAAACATTCTTTATTGATGCTCTACTTGTATTGGCCTTACCGTGTTGTTATATAACCTATAGCCCTCCTCAATAAATGAGCTATCTAACACTGAAAGAATTTTTCAAATCGGACCAGTAAGTAGTTCCTGAAATTAGCGCATTCAAACAAACTCTTCAGCTTTATAATATTAGTATAGATTAGCATCAACAATTTGATCAAATAATTGAACTTCAATTAAGTTTACACCATTCAAATAACTGGAGAAGTTTTTTTGTTATGATATGTTTTTCCAAATTTTAAACTTCAAATGGCTCTCGTGTAAAGATAAAAATATGTCGCTTAAGCTTAAAATAGCTTTTCACCCGTCGATGTAGATTTTTTGCAGCAGAAGAAGCACTGCCGCCCTGGTGCTAGCCCCATGAAATATGAGGTCAAAATCTTAGTGGCATTTGTATAGCGACTTCCGAAATTTTAATCGGACATGAACACTGATGGCAGGACCTCTTGTGAGTCCGCGCGGGTAGGTACCACCACCCTGCCTATTTCTGCCGTGAAGCAGTAATGTGTTTCGGTTTGAAGGGTGGGCAGCCGTTGTAACTATACTGAGATCTTAGAACTCATATCTCAAGGTGTATGGCGCATTTACGTCGTAGATGTCTATGGGCTCCAGTAACCACTTAACACCAGGTGGGCTGTGAGCTCGTCCACACATGTAAGCAATAAAAAAAAACACTGCACTCCGAGAAACAGTCGTCTGATGCACACATCAATGACCTTAGCGAGGGAGCACTGATGACATAACGTCTTAAAATTAGCCGGAGGCCATTTTCAGAGCTTTTTGTTTGAATTTTATATATTACTAGCTGTACCCATCCGCTTCACTGGGCATTTAAAATTAACATTATTATTTCTCACCCCCACAAAGATTCTCATCATTAACGCCCCCGCAACTGGTGTAGAGAGTCCAACACTCATATAAATATTAGCCTATCTATTAAGTATATGTATTTTCTACATGGATACCAAGTCAATCGGATGCATCGGGAATTGTTCGAGATGATACCGACATCTCGTTTTTACCATCGCACCGCCCGCCACCGGAGTAGAGTTCATCCATACTACCTGGAGCCACTACGTTCATCCACAGTGCGTTTCCAGAGATCTTTTTTGCCACGTACCATCCGGCTATGGAATGAGCTCCCCTCCACGGTGTTTCCCGAGCGCTATGACATGTCCTTCTTCAAACGAGGCTTGTGGAGAGTATTAAACGGTAGGCAGCGGCTTGGCTCTGCCCCTGGCATTGCTGACGTCCATGAGCGACGGTANTCTTTTTTGCCACGTACCATCCGGCTATGGAATGAGCTCCCCTCCACGGTGTTTCCCGAGCGCTATGACATGTCCTTCTTCAAACGAGGCTTGTGGAGAGTATTAAACGGTAGGCAGCGGCTTGGCTCTGCCCCTGGCATTGCTGACGTCCATGAGCGACGGTAACCACTCACCATCAGGTGGGCCGTATGCTCGTCTGCCTATACGGCAATAAAAAATTTAAAAAAATGGTTCAGTAGTTATAACGGAACATCCGTAAAAACTACTGTAGATTTATATATTAGTATAGATGTATATATATGTTACGGTAAATGTACACTCTTGGGAAAAGTACAGTTTTACCGGTAAATGTGCACATTTGCTAAAAAGTTAGGTATATGTGAACTGAATATAATGTATATTTCCCGGCAAATGTGTTGTACTCTTGCCTTTACGTTTTGGTAAATTTATACTATTACCTTCATGTTTCAAGAAAAGTTGGAATACAAATAAATTAATAATGTTGTTTGCATTAAAAAAAATATTTATTTAAATAAACATAATACAAAAGGCCTTAATAACGATAATGGTTTTTTACGCACCACATTTCTACCACTTGCCTTTTTCATATTTTGTATGCCATGCTCACATTTACCAAAACGACATGGTCACTGTGAATTTTTTTTTATTGCTTGTATGAACGAGCTCACAGCCCACCTGATGTTAAGTGGTTACTGGAGCCCATAGACATCTACAACGTAAATGCGCCACCCACCTCGAGATATAAGTTCTAAAGTCTCAGTATAGTTACAACGGCTACCCCACCCTTCGAACCGAAACGCATTACTGCTTCACGGCGGAAATAGGCGGGGCGGTGGTACCTACCCGTGCGGACTCACAAGAGGTCCTACCACCAGTGATAGTGAATTTAATGTACTTGAAATTGTAAATGTTAAATTGTAAATGAAATTGTAAATGTTAGTTGAATGCACATTCTTTGAATTTGGCACACACCTTCTTTGAAATTGTAAATGTTAGTTGAATGCACATTAGCCAAACGAGGAGGCAAATTTGCACATTTACCGGGAAATGTGTACATTTGCCGCAATATTTACTTTTACCGTAACATATACATGGTTTTTGTAATAGTACCTGAAACTTACGTAGAACCGGTTGATCGCTGACACGATAGTAATAATATTGATGATACATTAATAAGGTTAACGGTACTATAAACAGTTGACTAGCCGATCAGTTTTCCTTGACACACACCTCCGTTAACTTTAGCCAGTACTTTATTACAGTTTTGAATTAGGGTAAATGGTTTACCTACTTTAACCGCATGATTTTTATTTATTATTTCTTTATTGCTTAGATGGGCGGACGAGCTCACAGCCCACCTGGTGTTAAGTGGTTACTGGAGCCCATAGACATCTACAACGTAAATGCGCCACCCATCTTGAGATATAAGTTCTAAGGTCTCAATATAGTTACAACGGCTGCCCCGCCCTTCAAACCGTAACGCATTACTGCGGCAGAAATAGGCAGGCTGGTAGTGCCTACCCGTGCGGACTCACAAGAGGTCCTACCACCAGTAGTGATTCGAAACCTCAGAATGACAAACATAAAAAAAGAGAAGAAATATTTTCATTTTGCGACAGTACTTATGTCAGTGGCAATAAATAAAGGCCTCTGAATAGAATCATAAATGAGTCGTCTATTATCAAAGGCGGCAATCTGTGCATTTGGACAAAAAAATTTTATTGATATCTCAATACAGATTGATTTGAATATAATCGTCTCCTTCAAAGAATACGGTTCAAAACCTGCATTAAATAAAGGTTAATAGTTAACCTGTTATTTATCTAAGATGTCGTTCCGAAGAGTTTTGTGACTGCCAATGGAATACAAAGTCAGTAATTCGTTTTTCTGATTTACCAATAATTGTCCAAAAGTCAGATTGCCGGCTTTGATAATAGTCGACTCAAATACTTTAATCACGCCGAAGTAAAAATAATAAAAATAATAAACTTATTTTGTATAATTAACGCAATCACCGGTCGTAAACTTAACGATCTATTACGTGAACAAAAAAAAATCGAGAACGAATCATTTATCTGTGCAAACGAACTATTGGTGTTTGGTTCCGAGTATGGTTCGGCGATCGTGTGGCAAAAAAAAAACCACACGTCATTACGGATTCTCCCGATTTGACGGCCGTCTGGTGTAGTGGTAAGTGACATGGTCACTACACAAGGGGGTCGCGGGTTCGAATCCCGCCAAGGGAGGACATTTGTATGACAAATATAAAAATGTCTTTTCCAGGGTTATGGATGTATCTATACTATATAATATTAATATTATAAAGAGGAAAGATTTGTTTGTTTGTTTGTTTCGAATAGGCTCCGAAACTACTGGACCGATTTGAAAAATTCTTTTTCCATTAGAAGCCGACATTGTCCCTGATGAACAGAGGCTACTTTTTTTATTTATTTTTTATTTTTTTATTTTTTTGGTTTCATGTGTGTTTTAATGTTTCCGAAGCGAAGCGAGGGCGGGTCGCTAGTATTTAATATATGTATGTGTATAATAAAAATATTACATTTATTTCCGTTATCTGGTACCTGTAACACAAGTTCTTTACGAACTTACCACGAGACCAGTTAACGTGGCGTGATTGTTAGTAAATATTTATTTATTTATTATTTATTAACATGCTTTTCGGTACCACAAGCACCGGTCACCATCCTCGTCGAAGCCGTCGCGAAGGGCTCGACGAGCGAATTAACCCATAGATACAGCCCACTGAGTTTCTCGCCGGATCTTCTCAGTGGGTCGCGTTTCCGGTCCGGTGGTAGATTCTGCGAAGCACTGCTCTTGCTAGGGTCAGTGTTAGCATCACTCCGGCTTGAGCCCCGTGAGCTCACCTACCAGTTAAGGTTACGCTGAAATAGCCTCTCAAGGCTATCAGCTTAGGTAGGAAAAAAACGAACAAACAAACAAACAAAATGTGAGCCGTCACGGGACGCCTGGCAGATGTGAAACATCGACATTATTTTGTAAAAGTAATATGCAGAAAAGAACAGATTGTTATAGGAACTAAATATGTCATAATAATAAAATAAAATATTACGAAAAAATAATTTGTTTTCAAGTAAAACACAGGTTATGTGTTTAACTTGAAACAACACTGTATACACTACGAAGTATACACTATAGGTATCCGAGCTCAGCGTAGCAAGAGAGATGGCTTAACGCCGGATCGAGTGGGAGAGAATCGCACTGTCGATTGCGCAGGGCGACGCGTCGCCACGGCATGAGTCGCCACGCCAGAAATCGGTTTTACGTCCGGCTAGAGATGTTTCACATCTAAAAACTTGTAATCCAATGAAAATCTTCTGTTTCCCTGCGTTTATCGAAAATGGACAAGTCCTAGGAATATCGTAAAGATTCCTTAAACAAGTCACTCAACTCAAATCGATGCACAGAGTTAGTTTTGCTCCAAGCACAATATCATCACAAGCTATTAAGCGTCGCTTAAAATTGAGGCTAAGCATAACGAGGGATGACAGGCTATTTGGTTTAGGCGACATTTCGGTTAATACGCGACATTTATCTTTGTAATTAAAGGTCCGTTTTATTTGTTATCAGCATCAACAGTTCGATGTTTCTAATTGAACTTCAATTAAGTTTACATCATTCTTAATAGCTGAAGAATTGACAATTTTTTTTTTCAAAATTTAAACTTTAAATCGCTCTCCGGTAAAGTTTCAAAAATTTCGCTTAAACCGAACAGTCTTTCATCCCTCGATAAGATCGTCTGTGTTGGATCCATTTTTTTTTATTTTTAGATTGAATGATTACTGGTGGCCCGGAGTCCTTGCCAGTTTCACCAGGACAGGTGGGCGAGCAAAGGCTCAGCCAGGAGGGGTGGGATTTGCTAACAGCTACCCGAGCGGCTCCGAAGGAGACCTAACAGCTCAAGAGTAGCTGCTTCGCGAATGAATCTACTACCGGATCGGAATCGCGACCCGCTGAGAAGATCCGGCGAGAAACTCAGCGAGCTGATTCATGGGTTAGGTTGCACGGCGAACTCTTTGTCGAGTTCGACGAGTACGGTTACCGGGGTCCCTAAGCCTGCTCCTAGTGTTAGAGCTGAAGGCNGCTCAAGAGTAGCTGCTTCGCGAATGAATCTACTACCGGATCGGAATCGCGACCCGCTGAGAAGATCCGGCGAGAAACTCAGCGAGCTGATTCATGGGTTAGGTTGCACGGCGAACTCTTTGTCGAGTTCGACGAGTACGGTTACCGGGGTCCCTAAGCCTGCTCCTAGTGTTAGAGCTGAAGGCGTCTAATGCAAAGGTTATTAAATCTGATGGATCCGTAAGAACGTGTCTAGGGCGTCGACGGTGACTGGCTCCTGCGTGATCAGGATTCGGGGAGTAGTCAGCGGCGGCAACGATAAGGCGATTATCATGACGCATCGACTTCCGCGCTAGACGCATCGCCGAAGTATCGTTCCGACGCTGACTTCATGTATTTCTGGATAGATTCGAGTCTTGGATCCAATAAGACCGACAAATGCTACAAACACTTTTCAAGTTATATCACAAACATCGAACAAAGCCTCAATAGTTCGAGGCCTACACGTGACCAAGGAGATTTGCAATTAACTACGTCCTAATTAAATACGTTTGCATATTTATTTAATCTCCGTTGAATCGTACGGTGTAAAAACATCGCGTGATCGTGTCGTGTAAGAACAGTGAATGAGTCTATTGTTCGTAACCACGACGTATTTAATTGATAGACGTGCTATTTGAATTTTTGTTGTTTATTGTTTTTGCTAATACTAATTCTTCTCAGTTGATAGTGGTACGGTTTGCAAATATGTTTTTTATTTTTTTAATTGCTTAGTTGGGTAGAAAATCTCACGGCGCACCTGATGTTAAATGATTACCGGAACCCATAGACATCTGCAACGTAAATGCCGTCACATACCTTGAGATACAAGTTCTAAGGTATCTTAGTTTTTACAGTACAACAGCTGCCCCACCCTTCAAACCGATACCGTTACTGCTTCACGGCAGAAATAGGCTGGGTGGTGGTACCTACCCGTGCGGACAGACAAGACGTCTTACCAGTAAAATATTTGACTCTTAGCGTTGCCATTTTCCACAGAAACGCCGTCCTTATTTCTACCACAAAGCAGATATAAAATCCAATTTGTCTGATAGCTACAAGCACAAGTAGACAGATACTTTGATGGATGGTTACTTAGTGACTTCCATCATGCGCTTGACTTGTTTTAGGGATATTTTAGAACCGTTTTATTATAGATGATAAAAAAATTGAGGTGTGTTTGTATGTGTGGTTACTAAATGAGGCGGTCAGTTAAAAGCGGCCTGAGCTTACCATAGTCAGCAAGGAGATAATGAGTTTTGAATTTACTTTTACACTTGTTCGTAAGCAAAAACAATACGCGCAAAAATAATGTTTACAAAGCCATCTGTTATCTATGAATGAAACTAGGAATAGGACGGCTTTGCATCAAAATTTATTATGTTTTAAATAAAAGATGTGTGGTGTCGTGGGACACCGGATAGGAACGAAGTTCCTTATTATAAAAATATTAATTTTAAGTTCTATTCGAGGTATAAAGAAAATAATTATTCGGGTATAAAATTTTATTATGATTTTTTTATTGATAAAAAACTACTTTACAAAGTTATCAACTTTATTTTATTCACAATGATTTATAAAAAATATATAATAATAATATACAAAGAAACAGTTATTTATATCAATAATAATAATTAAGTCTAATTATGTTCTATCATAGAAAACCGTCATCACGTAGACTATACATTAGATACTCTATAGCCGTCATACTAAGACTATACATAAATAATAAAAATCTTATGTTACGGACGTTTTTTCCCGGTTAGGGTACCCCTCCGCATCGTCCCAAAGTTCCTTAGAACTTCGTTCCAAAACTTCGTTCCTAAAATTGCAATATATAGGCTCGAATATGAAAAATTTTGGACTAGGCCACTCTTTTGCTCTGACGGCTTCAAATGGCCTTTTGATAAGTTAAGCCTATGCCACTCTGCGCTCTATAAGTCTTTGTGTCGTGACCGCGAAAGAACATCAAGTTATATTGTTATTTGATTTGCAGAATCTGGAAGTTCCTGACTGATGTCGCACAGCAGGGGACCACGGTTATCATCACAACGCACTATATCGATGAAACAAAACAAGCGCACAAGGTAAGGGAGTACCCGCATGCGGACATCAAAATGGCGTTTTTTTTTGGTCTGGAGGAAATCGCTGGACTCCCACCCTCCACTGGGGATGGCGGGCGGGGTATGTCAGAGTCGAACCGACTAAAACCTCCTGTTGCTCAACAACCCACGTCCGAGCCTCTCATGAGACAGAACTCATGAAAAGGCAAAGGTGGGAAATTGAAGCGTTTAGTGTGGAGCACATCTCTCCCATCACCCTCCCCCTCGGGACGCCGGACCGGCGGTCGTCGGCGCTACGACCACCAGCCCTCTCGGTCGATCAAAATGACGTGCCGTTTTTTCAGGCGCAAATAATCTTATGTGCAAGGTGTATTCGAAATAAGACGGTTGTACTGATATGTGTACAGTAATAGTCTTTTTTTTAATGCTTAGTTGGGTAGACGAGCTCACAGCCCAACTGGTGTTAAGTGGTAACCGGAGCCCATAGACATCTACAACGTAAATGCGCCACCCACCTTGATATATAAGTTCTAAGATCTCAGTATAGTTACAACGGCTGCCCCACTGCCACACGATGTTATTGCTTCACCGTGGAAGTCAATCGTGAACATTTGTCAAGTACGGATTTCATTAGAAAAATTGGTACTCTTCCGCGGGATTCGAACACCGGTGCATCGCTAGATACGAATGCACCAAACGTCTTATCCTTTAGGCCACGACGACTTCATGAATATTTGTTTTACTTAGATTTGCATAGGATGCAATGTATATCGTTAAAAAGTACATATTGAAAACCGACTTCAAGAAATTATCTAGGTAGATCAATAAATAAAAAAATAATATTTAAAAAAAATTGATAAAGAATATCTGAATATGTAAATGGATATAAGGATACAATTAGACAACACATACCGGTTTTGTTACAATAAAATAATAGCTACACTAGTTCTAGCATTATAAGAATTCCATTTCGCATTAGCTATTAATCTTTCATTTATGACCACAGCATTTTTGGGAATTCTGACCAGACATCCTCAATAGAACTTTGGCAAATTAAAACGGGATTTGGAACCGGTTGGTTTTGTTGCTGCAAAAAAATACAGAGATAAATAGATATAAAATAAAACTTCTCGTCAAGTCTTAAAATAAAGCTTAGCAAGAAACCTGATATTTTGAATGTCGCAGACGCGACTGTCAGATGTTTTCGTATTATAGAACACTAGATTTTTCACGTGGCTTTTTTACTCGCACTCATAGTGAAGAAAAAACATCCTTGAAGATTAGTACTTTTTTTTAATGAAGTGTACCTCATGTTCTTGACTGTGTCATTGACAAGGTATATGGCAGCGGTCGGGGAACTTTTTTTTTTTTTTTTTTTTTTTTATTGCTTAGCTGTGTGGACGAGCTAATTTTAATTATTACCCCAAAATAATTTTGTGTAAGTTGATATTACCCAATGGCGAAGAACAAAAAAAACCGCTTCTTTTTAGCATCTTTCATATTATAGACAGACCCCATGATAATTTCGAAAAAAAAAAAAAAATATTTTCCTTTCGTTTTATCGAGTTTGAAATCACAACGATTTTAAAGAAATTTCACTTCAATATATACTTTTTACTCACAAAGGTTTCATTTTACCCCCCCCCCCCCCTACACACACAAAATTTCATTTTACCCTATTTGGGGTAATTTACCCCGGTTCTCCGACCGCTGGTATATAGAATCATGAGGTTCAGTTGAGTAGCTAAGAAAAATTGAACAAACAAACACGATTTCGCATTAAAAATATTAAGTACGTATTGCAAATATGAAGCAACCGATAACTACAAGAAATTTCTGCTTCGTTTACCGATTTCTACTTATTAAACAGAGCTTAAGGCTAAGGTACTACTTAGCGCTGGTAGAAAACAATGTACGCTTCGCCGATCATAATGCAGAACGGGCATAAATAGCGCGTAATTTGTTTTTCCTCTTCATTCAAAGACGGCTTTGTTGCACAAATAGTAATTATGATGAAGTAATCCGAATTGATTTATATGTTTAGGGTTCAACGACAAAAGGAAGACCTTTGTATTGAGCGGGTGAAATTGCTCAATAAACAATATGGAATCTTAAGTCGTTAGCAAGATTCTAATATCTTGTGTTCTATGATATAAATACTACACATAAATACTTTTAATGCTCAGTTAGGTGAACGAGCTTTTATCGGAGCTCAAAGAATCAGAACGTGAATGCCCTCACTCATTTTGAGAAACTAGAGGTCCCGCAGTAGTCGAAATTCGACTATAATTAATCGGAATTGTAAGTTTGTACACTATTATGATTGTATTTTATACTTCTATAATCACAAATTTCGCCAAGGCTACTCTATAAAAAAATATTAACAAAGACAAACAATATTTCATCTATCCTCAATTTGACCACAGACGTCAAGAACAAAAGTTTGACAATAAATAGTATGCATGCGTGTGTGCGTCAAATACATGGTATGTAGTGTGTGTAATGTTTTCTTTATTGATTTAATGCATCTTTTATGCATTATTTAAAAAAAATATTAGCATTGTGCACTTCTTCTCTATATTCTCTATAAGTGTGAAAAATTTCATACTCCTCCGTCCGCGCAATTTTCGTAAAAAGGGATACAAAGTTTTTGCTTCACGTATTAATATATAGATGAGGTTCCCTTCAAACCGGAACGCACGTTTGGTGTCAATGTCTTAGTTAAAGATAGTTATTATAATTTTCTCGAATATAATATAATGTAGGTATTCCGTAATTGTTTCCGAGGCATCAGTGACGAGAGAAAATTCTAAGTCTGATTCGACATGACCCGTTAAATCTCTCGGAATAGTTATCAGTCGCTCGTGATCACGAATCATAAAGCGGTGGTTTGACCTGGTTACTTAGCACCTGGAAATACCGGCCAACGAAGCTCTTCACCAGGCAAAGTATATGAATAGGTGGAGAGAAACCGTGAGAAGAATAAGGAGGAGTAAAGTATCTGAACAATAAGGAAAGGACTGAGAAGAAAAAGAAAGAAAACAGTAAAATAAGTTTTATTAAGAATCGTCAATAAAAGCTTAGAGAGAGAGAGAGAGAGAGAGAGAATATTCTTTATTGTACACTAAAAAACAAATAAACAGTGCGAAACATTAAATACAAAAAAGTATAATACAATTGGCAGTCTTAGCGCTAAAAAGTTTAATTTATTATTCAACATAATTACGGTAGTGTAGCTAGCTCAATGAGGCAAAAAAGACACAACGCGGAACCTAAGTTTCTCTAGCTCGTCGAGACGAATTCAAGTACGAACAAAATGACAGTAGTGCTCATAGTGTGAGAACACGTTTCCTAACAATGACGAAATTGTCTCGAATAGAAAACCTAGACGGATAATGAATGCACTTCCCAAGGCCGCATTGCAGCAACTCATCTACAATTACTTCTATGAAACGCTGTTTATAGTAATTATGAGAGCGTTTTCGTAATTAAAAATTTTCCAATTTGCATATTCCTTAATCAAGTTGACTAATTGCATAACAAAACAATACAAAATACTTTATTGTACCTTGATACAACAACATAACGAAAATGTACAGGAAAATGAATTAGCAAAATTAAATTTTAAAAACTAAAGTGTCGTTAAACTGACGTCAAAAATAGATAAAAATAATAAATTATTGTAGTTGGAACATTAAAACTGTGTGATAACTTAGACTGTATACAGACTACGGACGGACTAGAGTTACATAATGTTAACATTTATATTTTTAGTTCCAAACATAGCGATGAGATATCTCAAGGTCATATGAGAAGTATAGTTCGCATTCATCACTCCTTCGCAAGCTCAGATTAGGTTTTTTTTTATTGCTTAGATGGGTGGACGAGCTCACAGCTCACCTGATGTTAAGTGGTTACTGGAGCCCATAGACATCTACAACGTAAATGCGCCAACCACCTTGAGATATCAGTTCTAAGTTACAACAGCTGCCCTACCCTTCAAACCGAAACGCATTACTGCTTCACTGCATAAATAGGCGGGGTGGTAGTACCTACCCGTGCGGACTCACAAGAGGTCCTACCACCAGTATCAAAATTATTGAACCTTATCATGAATTATCGTATGGATGCCACTAATAATACGACCGCTGATAAGAATTCGATGCAAAAGGCAAGAGACCGAAAATAATAGAGTTCATATAAAGATCTACACTCAGCATTGGGTGGAAACAGGTTGAAGAAAAAAGATATAGATAGAGAAAGAGATGAATGCCACTAGTAATGGGCTTGAATTTTTTTACTAAAAACTTTATCTATACCGGCAGAGACTAAGACGTAGTTTCCACGGAAACCCACCCTCGTTTCGAAAATGACGGTATCTAATGGACAGAAAATGGTTATCCTGGACGATTCCTCGATCCTTCAGTGCTCTCTTCAGAGTGGTCCGGTCATCATATCCACATCTCTAGGGCAGGCCACTGCGCAGTAACTCTCCGCGTAGACACTGCGTCAGCCACAAAGCAAAAACCGGCAGGAACAAAGGGGCCACAGGAGAATGAGTTCCTCTCGTAAAAAAAAACATGACCAGTACATCGTGTCTGCTTAAAGACTAAATTTATACATGTACTGCTGGTAGGACGTCTTGTGAGTCCACACAGGTAAGTACCACCACCTTGCCTATTTCTGCAGTGAAGCAGTAATGCGTTTTGGTTTGAAGGGTGAGGCAGCCGTTGTAACTATACTTAGACCTTAGTACTCACATCTCAAGGTAGGTAAAGGCGTTTACGTTGTAGATGTCTATGGACTCCGGTAACCACTTAACACCAAGTGTGCTGTGAGCTCGTCGACCCATCTGAAGCCTGGGCCGCACTACGGTTTTTCCCGGGAGCGTTTAACCGCGAAACCGCTTAAGACGCACACACTACAATTATTAACCGCAAATTGGACCGCGATTTTCACGGTTTGAAGATGGATTTCAAAAGAGCAGTATGTATTGTTGCTCTGGTACTAAGAAATAGAAATAAAAATGTCAACGAAAATTTCACAAATATGTTGGGTCCGTCCGCTTGCCAGCCGCAGGTTTGAGAAAGATTTCTTTCATAAGAAATATCAAAATTTGAAATAATATCAAGATAATTTTTTCCGTTTCTATCGGATCTCAGTAGCCAGCTTCGTAAAAATTCTGCGATGTGCGTCCATAGATTATTTATTTATTTTTTCGACTTCATGTAAAATTTACATGGGCGGACTTAACGCCTAAGGCATTCTCTACCAGTCAACCAAAGGTAGTGCAGAGTAAATAGTGGTAGGTACACATACAGATATACATACATACATACATAAATACATACAATAGTTTATACAGCATTAACAGGAATACATTACATTACCTTCATGGATACAAAATTTCGCAAATGTATTTCACATTTCAAAAAACCGCCCGCGGCTACGCATAGTGCGCGTACGCCCAACTATATAGTTATATGGATTATAAATTTCGCGGTTTTAAAATCAGACGCGGCAAAGAACCGCAACTTTTTTTTTTATTATTGCTTAGATGGATGGACGAGCTCACAGCCCACCTGATATTAAGTGGTCACCGGAGCCCATAGACATCTACAACGTAAATGCGCCATCCACCTCGAGATATAAGTTCTAAAGTCTCAATATAGTTACAACGGCCACCCCACCCTTCGTACCGAAACGCATTACTGCTTCACGGCGGAAATAGGCGGGGTGGTGGTACCTACCCGTGCAGACTCCCAAGAGGTCCTACCACCGGCGGCTGCTTGTATTCGTTTTTCTATTTCACAAACTCACACGGCTTTAAACCGTTTGGGCTTAACCGTAGTGCGGCCTAGGCCTAAGCAATAAAAAAAAATTGTATTCACGCTGACCGCTTCAGGTTTTGTATCGTTATATTTTTTTACATTACGTGTTGTTGAATCTTGGAACTTGGTGATAAATTATATGTCATAACGTACGTATATGTTAGTACACTGGACCGACATTGTTTCTGTGAATTAACTCAGCTGTGTATGTGAATTCACGCCTTGATATTCATTTGTACACACACATATTAAAACTGTTTCAAAGTTTAATTATATACGTGAAATTTATGATACGGAATAAACATTGAAATGTTCCTATGTTTTTGTGTAATAATTGAATTATTGTTTGACTGCTGCCTTTATTGTTGTAAGAAAAAGATAAATACAAAGCACCGTGTTTGTTAGAGTTACTTATTCGAATTATAATTAATTATACATGAATTATATTTGCTGTTATTATGTTATTATTTTTGCTGTTATATTTTGAACTGTATATTCTGTTTTGTTCTAAACTTTGCTGCTAGATGAATATAGACGCGCTCTTGATCCAGCTAGTGGTTCGTATGGTCCATAGACATCTTAACGTTAACAAGGGTACTTGTGGTGGTAGCTATCATAGAACACAAGATATTTGCATATTTACAAGTTTTTTATTTATTTATTCCTTGTATGGGTGGATGAGTTGCCCACCTGGTGATAAGTGGTTACCGGAGCCCATAGAGAACTACATCATACATGTCGCCACTCACCTCGAGACAAGAGTTCTAAGGTCTAAGTCGTACCACTACAATAGCTTCACGGCAGGGCGGTGGTACCTACCCGTGCAGACTGACAAGTCGTCCTACCACCAGTAAAGTTCCGGACCATAACATCCAGACCGTTGATTTAAATTTTACCCGTTCGGTGGAAGGTATTCCCTTCGCATTTAACCCCCACCCCACCTTACCACGATTGGAGTTCAAATTCTCAACTGCATTGTACGGTAGATCTTACACCTTCTAAACTAGAGCACATGTCTGCTTCGCAGTAGAAATAGGCAGGACGCTTGTACCTATCCATACAACCACACTGGACCCTAATACCAGCAATCATAAAATTTTATTTTGCGTTTTTTTATATTTATTACACAATATAACTTGTTGGTAGAGCTTATTGTTCAGGGTAGGGTCAATGATAAAAGGTCTCGTGGAGCCCATGCGCTGACCGATCAGGTGAAAGACCTTACTAAAACCCCACTTAACGAGTGCGTGCGCCAAGCCTCAGTTCGCAAACTATGGAAAACATCTATCAAGGCTTTCATCATTCATCATTATCCTGCCCTTCTCCCAGCCACCTGGGGTCAGCGCAACATGTTTTATCCTTCCAAACTCTTCTATCATATACCATTTCTTCGCTCACTCCATTCTTACCCATATCGTCTTTCACACAATCCATCCATTTCTTCTTAGGTCTACCTCTTCCTCTATATCCTTCCACATTCATAGTTAACACTCTCTTACCAACCTCATTTTCATTTCGTCTCATCACATGTCCATACCATCCCAAACGCGCACTCCTCAGCTTCTCTGTCACAGGTGTCACTTTCAGACTTCCTCTAACATATTCATTCCGTATTCTATCCATTCTCTTTACTCCACACATCCAACGCAACATTCGCATCTCTGCTGCATGCAATCGCCTTTAAGGCCATCTGTCAAGGCTTTAATAAACAAAAATCCCACATGACCACAAGTAACTGACTCTGCCAAGAGTAACCGACTATGATGACACAATATAATTCTTTTATCATAGACGTTGTTCGTGAAGATTAATCTTAATTAATCTTAGGTTAGGTTTGCATTTTCTTATAATACACCGGTGGTATTTGATCTGTGTTTGACGTCAGACGTGGCCATGGGTTTGCGTTTTACCTTTTTTTCATAAAATGCATCATTCAAAAACTTGTAAAATTAATTTAGAATACTACCCGATCCAAGATCGAGTCTATAAATAAAAATAAATATTACGTATTGTCGACTGTTATTGACGGCTTTTGCCAGATCTCAGTGGGTCGTGTTTCCGATCCGGTGGTAGATTCTGCGAAGCACTGCTCTTGCTAGGGCCAGTGTTAGCAACACTCCGGTTTAAGCCCCGTGAGCTCACCTACATGTTAGGGCGAAGCTGAAATTGCCTCTCAAGGTTATCAGCATAGGTAGGGAAAAAAAAGACGGCTAATAAGACGCTCTTCACAGATAGGCTTACTGCGAGATGGACAGTTGCTGGCGGAAGATTCTCCAGATGAAATTCTGAGAAAGTTCGAGTGCAATACCCTCGAGGAGGCCTTTCTTAAGCTGGCCTTAGCTCAATATGAAATTCCACAACGAAGACCCCGTAAGTATAATATGAATATCCACTATGTAGCTATCTGCTCCTGTACCTATTAATATTCTAACCAGTACTTCAAAATCAATGAAGATACAATTGGAAAAACAAATACAGGATGAATTTTCGGTAGGCAGCGGCTTGGCTCTGCCGCTGGCATTGCTGAAGTCCATGGGCGACGGTAACCTCTCACCATCAGGTGGGCCGTATGCTCGTCTGCCTACACGAGCAAATATATTATTATATACCGGAATACTTAAACGAAAAAACAGAACATTATGTAAGCGTTTCGACACTTGGCCCAAAAGGAAAAACGTCATTTTGTCATTTTTTGGGCATATACATTGTTAAGCTAATCCTAATTCGGTGCTCCTAATTTCCAGCACCGACAGTGTCTCCGGACGTGATCCCGGAAAGCAGACAGATCGAGAGCGTGTACGAGTCAAGGGAAACCTTCAATGCCGTGAACGGGAGCACTGATGTGAGAAATTCTATTGCTTACTGAACGATGCTAAGCGAATGTACCGTGTGCCTAGAACGGTGTTGACGCGGCGTGAATCAACACGGACTCAAACAAATCGATGAGACTTTAACCTCATGTATGATTATTGCTGTAAGACACAGGTCTTAAGTGGTAACCACAGCTGACGTCACAACATGCATCTGCCACCCACATTAAGACGTGAGTCTGATATCCAAGTCGGAGTTGTATCACCTACCTAGGTAGCGGCTTGGCTCTGCCCCTGGCATGGCTGAAGTCCATGGGCGACGCTAACCACTCACCATCAGGTGGGCCGTATGCCCGTCTGCCTACAAGGGCAATAAAAAAATAAAAAAGCCACAATTAAGAAATAAAATGGTAGGATGGTATTGTCCTTCGACGACCCACAGACACAGCCCACTGAGTTTCTCGGCGGATCTTCTCAGTGGGTCGCGTTTCCGATCCGGTGGTAGATTCTGCGAAGTACTGCTCTTACTAGGGCTAGTGTTAGCAACGTCTCAGGTTAGAGCCCCGTGAGCTCACCTACTCGCTCGGTTACGCTGACATAATCCCCTGTCACCCAGCTAAGGTAGGAAAAAAGGGACTTGAACGACACAACCCTATAGCCACCATTGCCTATACGACACTTTACATTTGTCCTAACAACCACCATCGACAAAGCATTTTCTTGGGCTATCTAAAACAATGTATGACTGCGATTTTTTAACCAACTTAAAAAAAGAAGGAGGTTCTCAATTCGACTGTGGTTTTTTTATGTTTGTTACCTCATAACTTTTGACTGGGTGAATCGAAAAAGCGGACGCTTCCCGTGTGGTCCCATTACAATTTAGTCCAGTTCTGATAGTGGTATCCATGAGAAAACCATATAAGTCTTAAATTTGCATTAAGTACGTTCGCGACAAATAGATGAAGAATAACTCAATACCACGCCAACCGATTTCGATAATTATTGTTTTTAGTGTATATTCATTTGTTTTGGAATATCTTTTTTTTCTATTTGAAGTTGGTTTTTGTTAAAGCATGTTTATTTTCAATTTTTTTTAAATGAATGCTATTTATTACAGGTTTTAACAAAGAAAGAAAAGTCGATAAGGAGCAGAAATTTGTCAAGGTCCAGATACAAAGCCGTATTTATTAAGTGCATACAACAATTCTGTAGACATCCTGGGTAAGTTATAGACGATATTTATACAATGACAACGGTAGTTTTTTTCTTTTAATTGCTTAGAAGCGCAGAACCAAGCGCATGAATCACCTGATTTTAAATGGTTACCGGAGCCTATAGAAATGAGTAGTATGACTCCGTTTTATAGTAAAACAGCCATCCATTTATCTGTCTTTTTTATTCTTTAACTTATATACTTTCGTGTACCTAATATTTCTAATAATACGTATCGTATGAAACAACTGATGTTTTTTACTTTAATTTATGAGTTGGTAACACTTGTGACAACATCGGATTGTCTTCGTGCTGAAACTCGATTAAATAATAAAATAATAAAACTAACAAACGTGCGTTTAATTTTCGACTTTAACGACTCGAAAATACAATTCCATATCTTGAAGAGGGCGCAAAAGGAAAACAAGAAAAAAAACAAAAAGAAAAAAAAACTTTTATTTATTAATTCCACTTTTAGTTCGCGAATTCAATGACGAAGTTAACTAGGAAATTGAAAAGTATTCGACACTTCGAAACTTCTACATCTCACGAAAACCAAAGAGAATGCTATAGTTTAATTTTTTACTAGCGACCCGCCCTCGCTTCGCTTCGGAAACATGAAATTTTATTATTGATAGCTGAGTCCCGCGATGTTACCCGCGGTTATTGTCGTACCGCGGGTGACGCCGCAGGGCGAAGCTAGTCTTAAAAAAGCCTAAATTACTCCTTATATCATTAGCTGCCTATCAGTGAAAGTCTCGTCGAAATCTTTCCAGCCGTTCCAGAGATTAGCCGGAACAAACAGACAGACAGACAAAAATAGTAAAAAAAAATATTTTGGTGTATGTACCGTATATATATATATTCATATGCATGTAGTAAAAAGCGGTTATTTCAATATTACAAACAGACACTCTAATTTTATTGAAATTTTATTTACATTTATTTCGTTTTTATTCCAGGGGCCTAATATTCTCTATACTGTTTCCTATAATCCAAGTGGTCGCGTTCTTCCTGGCGGTGGGACACGACCCGAGGGACCTCCAGACCGCAGTCGTCAATGAAGAGGCGGCCTTCTCGCCGTGTGGGTACCCTAATTGTTTTTTTTTTTTTCTTTTAATTAACAGCTAACAAATTACCATTTCAGGGCTGTCAGCCGTCTTGGGCTAAAGGTCAAAGGTTTTTGTTTTATTACCCTTGTAGACAGATGAGCATACGGCCCGCCTAATGGTGAGTGGTTACCATCGCCCGTGGACTTCAGCAATGCCAGGGACAGAGACAAGCCGCTGCCTACCGAAAGTCCTAATTGCATTAACAAATAGGTTTGAAGGGCGGAGCAGCCGTTGACACTGAGGCCTTAGAATTCATGTCTCAAGATAGCTGGCGGCATTTACGTTATCGATGTTAATGGGCGCCAGTGACCACTTAAAATCTGGTAGCCTGGGAGCTCGTCCAAAAATTATAGCAATAAAAAGTTATAAAAATAGCTTCACTTCACGGGAGTACGAAGGAAGATAGGACCAAAGCGAACTTAAGATTTTCAATAAATAATTACACAGATTAATAACATTTACTCGTGTATTTGTTTATTGTTACTAGTCAATTTAAAAAAAAAAACTACTCTCGGTTTCAAATTTCTAAGAGGTACTTTAGAAAACTTATATGTGTCCTTGTACATACACACGTCTTAACAGCGAAAATATCAAACTTTTTTGAATACATTGTAAAGATGTTGTCATGATAAAGATTGATCATGTAGTCACTGGAGCGCACACACAAAATTTCATCAACATCGGTCCAGCCGTTTTCAGTGACATAGACACGTACAGTAGAATTGTCTATACTAATATTATAAAGCTGAAGAGTTTGTTTGTTTGAACGTGCTAATCTCAGGAACTATTGGTCCCAATTTAAAAATTCTTTAAGTGTTAGATAGCCCATTTATCGAGGAAGGCTATAGGCTATATAACATCACGCTAAGACCAATGCAGGCGGAGCACCGATAAAGAATGTTTCAAAATCGAGGTTTTTTTTCCCTTTTGAGAACTTCCGCTGCGTGCGCTAGAGAAACGGTTCAAGTTTCGTTATAGTAATGTATGACAGAATTGTTTCCCTTTAAAATGTCTAAAAAAAAGTCCGTAACAGCATATGTCTATATATTAAGGTTGGCTCAATATAACGTTTTTTATGCTAACTAAATTTGTTCTAAAATAAAGCATTATTTGTGAACTATTTCCCACGCGGACGAAGTCGCGGGCAAAGGCTACTATATATACATACATATAAGGTTTAAAAAAAACGGTGTTCTTATAGAAAAACCATAATTCTATATAACCAAATTAGTACAAAAATGAGGCAAATGGAAAAACGCGCATCGAGCGATGAATAATGCTAACGTTTTTCTTTCAGTTGGCTTAGATATATGTAGGAGAAGTGACTTACAAACGACAAAGTTGTTAAAGGACGGCACATGTGAGCTGTACATGCTGAGCTGCTGGTTCCTAGAAGAAATGGAGAACAAGGAATTGGTTCAGGTAAGCAGTTACAGAGGAATCCAGTGATGACGGCGGTCAAAATGTACCAGGCTTTTCTTACTGGTGCTAGGACCTCTTGCGCGGACGGAGGAGTATGAAATTTCCCACACTTATAGAGAATATAGAGAAGAAGTGCAGAATGTTAATATTTCCTTAAATTTTGCCTAAAAATACATTAAATCAATAAATAAAAACATTACACACACTACCATGTATTTGACACACACACGCATGCATACTATTTGTTTATTGTCAATGTTTCTTTATTGCTTATAGTCTGTGGTCAAATTGAGAATAGATTAAATATATTGTTTGTCTTTATTAATATTTCTCTAAGGTGTAGTCTAGACGAAATCTGTGATTATACAAGTACAATAAAAAGTCTTTGACAATATAATCATAATAGTATAAAAGATTATAATTTAAATTAATTGTAGTCGAATTTCGACTACTGCAAGACCACTAGTATAAATTAAAATAAGACATAACCTAAAGGTCTTAGTTGCCAGGTCATAAAATCCCTTATAAAAAAAATAAAGCAAATAATCTTGACACGAATGCTTGCTCAATATGGGGATGACTACGCAACGGAGTCAGTCAAGTATCGTTGCAGACGGTGTATAACAGTACTGAGGAGGCGAAAAGCGCCGTGGCTACTGGCAAGCTCTACGCCGCCCTCCACTTCGCTCAGAACTTCAGCGAGGCGCTCGGACTGCGGGTCGCTGAAGGAGAAGTCGCGGACCGCACGCTCGCCGAGAGCAACATCAGAGTCTGGCTCGACATGACCAGTGAGTGTGGACGTTTGCTTCTGTCTGTCGGTCGTGGGGTCGTCATACTCCCTTGCGGGGCACGGAGTGGGCCTCGGGGAAACCCTCTGCCCGAGCTGAATCTCCCTGCATAATGAGGCAGGGGTGATGCGCTGCAGGTCTAATGCAGGCTTGAGGTAGTGGTGGGTAGGACTTCCCTTTTTCTCTTCATCTTCTCCTCTTCCGTCTTCTCTTCTCTTCTTTTCTTCTTTTTTTTTCTGCTTCGCTTCTGTCTGAAGGCGGCTGTGGTTTTCATTACGCTTCTATTAGCTTCTGTGTGCTTAGTGCGAGTTTTTTAACGTTCTAGATAGCGTAAAAGTTACCTGAAGTTTATATGTAGCTGGAACAGTGCCCCTAGCGGCAAACACAGGCAAGCGTTTCAACTCCATACAAACTTGAGTTAACTATTACGCTTTCGAGAACGTTAAAAAACTCGCACTAAGCACACAGACGTATGTACCTTAGTGTGTAACGAAATCTTTGAACATGATTTTGACTCCCTTCAAAACGTTGGATTAACTCGATTATTAAGGACCGATGACAATTCAATATTAATAATAATAATAATTGAAAGAATTGAAATTCAACTAAAAAATCAAAAATAAATAATAGTTTAAAAAAATTAAAAAAAATACACTTTTATAGAAAATCCAACTAAAAAATAGAAAATAAATTTTAATAAATTTGAATTAAAATTAGTGTAAAAAAATGGTTTTATACTAACGTATTTTCACAAAAAAGAGAGAGAGAGAGAGAGAGAGAGTATTATTTATTGTACACCAACAAAATAAACAATGCGAAACATTAAATATAATAAAAGTACAATTGGCGGTAATGAAAATGATAAGATAACAATTGAATAAGGAGTTATTAATTGAGTAATAACGTTTTTCCGCTGCAGATCACCAAATATCATATTTCATAAAGCAGCAGCTACACAAAGCTTACGAGAGCTTCACAAAGCGCGTGATGAGAGCTTGCGACAGACCCGAAAACATCATACAGGTACACGACTCCACTCCATCCACTAAGTCGCTGTTCTTTTATTTCTTTTTTTTATTGCTTAGACTAGTGCACCAGGTCACTTTAGCCCATGGACATCAACAACTAGAATGCAGCCACCGGTTCGGATTTTGAGATATGAGTTCGAAGTCTCAGTTTTACAGTACAAGGGTGCCCCACCGAGAATCGCGACAGGAATAAGCAGTTCGGTATCAGGGTTGACTTGAAGAGTTGAGGTAACGCTACTCCAGGTCACCACCGGACAACCTTACATCAGATCTCATACTCCGATAAATTACTTAATGACACCACATTGCTGTTAGGAAATACCCAAAATTTTCATATTTTTTTCCTACCTAAGCTGATAGCCTTGAGAGGCTATTTCAGCATAGCCTTAACTAGTAGGTGAGCTCACGGGGCTCAAACCGGAATGTTGCTAACACTGACCGTAGCGAGAGCAGTGGTTCGCAGAATCTACCATCAGATCGGAAACGCGACCCTCTGAGAATATGCGGCGAGAAACTCAGTGGGCTGTGTCTATAGGTTAATTCGCTCGTCGAGCCCTTCGTCGCAAGCGATAGGTTCAGCGAGGACGGTGACCAGTGCTTGTGGTACCTAAAAGCACCGTTAATGGATTGAAAGGATCCATAATGACGTGAATTTTCATCTTAGCCATTTTCTAGTATAAAAATTAAAACGCTTATAACACCAGCGACTTGCCAATGCTGACATCATTGAGTGACGATAACCGTTTGTGGGCGGCAAGCCTTGTACTATGTGCTTAGTGCGAGTTTTTAAACGTTCTCGATAGCGTAAAAGTTAACTCAAATTTGTATGCAGTTGGAACAGCGCCCCTAGCGGGAAACGTAGCGAAGTTTAGTTTTGCCGTCACCGATCCTGCAGTTACACCGGACGTGCGTTGTGCATTTCCGGTTTTTGATTATCACGTTCGAAATTCAATTATTATGTTTGTAGATTCCGGTCAACTTCCACGATCCGATCTACGGTAAGAAGGAGCCGGAAATGGTTGGATACATGGCTCCCGGCATCTTGATCACGTGAGTTTAATTGTGATCTATTAAATCGTTTATATTGTCAGTGTGTTTGTGTCTCTATGGACTTATTTTTTCGTTTCATCGAGTTTGAAATCACAACGATTCTAAAGAAGTTTCACTTCAATTATCTGAGTCGACTATTATCAAAGCCGGCAATGTGACTTTTGGACAATTATTGGTAAATCAGAAAAACGAATTATTGGCTTTGTATTCCATTGGCAGTCACAAAACTCTTCTGAACGACATCTTAGATAAATAACAGGTTAAGTATTAACCTTTATTTAATGCAGGTTTTGAACCGTATTCTTTGAAGGAGACGATTATATTCAAATCAATCTGTATTGACATATCAATAACATTTTTTTGTCCAAATGCACAGATTGCCACCTTTGATAATAGACGANTTATTGACTTTGTATTCCATTGGCAGTCACAAAACTCTTCTGAACGACATCTTAGATAAATAACAGGTTAAGTATTAACCTTTATTTAATGCAGGTTTTGAACCGTATTCTTTGAAGGAGACGATTATATTCAAATCAATCTGTATTGACATATCAATAACATTTTTTTGTCCAAATGCACAGATTGCCACCTTTGATAATAGACGATTCATCTTTAAGCATTACCATACTCTTACCCACTAAAGTTTGTCAGCTAATTGCTTGGAGCGCGATGGTTATTGACATGGCGATAGTGTACGATGCTGTCATACATAAAGTCGCACGGGTCCGCGTGTCGGTGGTGATGTCCAAGTTCGTGACTGTCTGTTTCCCTCGAAGGATAATATTCTTCCTGCCGAGCGTGGTGACGTCGACGCTGATGATCGGCGACCGGCTGGAGGGCGTGTGGGAGCGCAGCGCCGTGGCGGGCGTGCGGCCGCGCGAGATGCTCAACGTGCACATCGTTCTGCAGTCCGTCGTCATAGTGGTGCAGGTACGCCAACTTTACCCTTGAAGTCATCACGGCCTAAATGATAAGACGTCCGGTACATTCGTGTTGAGCGATGCACCAGTGTTCGAATCCCGCATGCGGGTACCGCTTTTTCTTATGAAATACGTACTTGACAAATATTCACGATTGACTTACACGGTGAAGGAATAACGTCGTGTAATAAAAATCAAGCTCGCAAAATTATAATTTGTGTTATTACTGGTGGTAAGACCTCTTGTGAGTCCGCACGCGTAGGTACCACCGCCCTGCCTATTTCTGCCGTGAAGCTGTAACGCGTTTCGGTTTGAAGGGTGGGGCAGCCGATGTAACTGTACTGAGACCATACCGGCTCAAAAGAGGTCCTACCACCAGTAAGGAATTTCAAGGTGGGTGGCGCATTTACGTTGTAGATGTCTATGGGCTCCAGTAACCACTTAACCCCAGGTGGGCTGTGAGCTCGTTCACCCAACTAAGCAATAAAAAAAGTTAATAAACACCCAGACAAAGATAAAAAAAAATGCCAAGTCAAATAAAATGATACGTACATTTTCAATGCAAAAGTTCAAAGTGGCTCATTTGACCCGTTATTGTATGATTTTATTATTGTTTAATCTTTTATACATTTTATACACAGAAATATGTTTTTTTATTTTTTATTTATTACCCTTGCAGGCAGACGAGCATACGGCCCACCTGATGGTGAGTGGTTACCGTCGCCCATGGACTTCAGCAATGCCAGGGGCAGAGCCAAGCCGCTGCCTACTATGTGTTTAGACTAGAATATTCCGATTTCAATGACCGTAACTAGCTAATAGTGACGACTGATTATTAATTTTCAGACAATCGAGATGATGGTTCTAGCGTTCGCTGGTTACGGTATACCGTCTAGGGGTTCCAATATCACGTGCGGGATCCTCCTGTTCCTCCAGGGTCTGTCGGGGATGTGCTACGGGTTCCTTCTGTCGGTCTACTGCACCAGTCACACGATGGCGTTCTTCGTTGCCACTGGAAGTTTCTATCCTATGATACTACTCTGCGGTGCGTCTGAATTATATATTTATTTTTATTATAAACTAGCTGACCCGGCAAACTTCGTAGTGCCTCAATCGATAAATAAAAGACCTAAACTTTTGTATAAAATAAACTTAAAACAAATAAAAGGAATCCGTCCGACGGGGGCGACATCAAAGGAAAAATAAAATTGTTATTTTTATTTAATTCCGAGCATTTTCATATTTATCTACCTTTTAAACCTTCTCTGGACTTCCACAAATAATTCAAGACCAAAATTAGCCAAATCGGTTCAGCCGTTCTCGAGTTTTAGCGAGACTAACAAACAGCAATTCATTTTTATATATATAGACTAGCGGAACGCTCCGGCTGCGCTCAGGTCATTAACAAAACTTTCAACGACGTTGTTTTATTTTTAAAAATAACAGAACTACTTATTGCGGCGTAACTATATTTTTTTTAAACCTTGGGTTACATTATTGGGGCTTTATTAAGGATCCCTAATTTTTTACAAAAAATATTATAACCTATGTCACGCGGGTGTAGTGTAGCTTCCAAACAGTGAAAGAATTTTTCAAAACGGTTCAGTAGTTTCGGAGCCTATTCAATACAAACAAACAAACAAATCTTTCATCTTTATAATATTAGTATAGAATAAATAAATAGCTTCATAAAAATAAAACAAATTGTAAGTGTATAAAATTTAAATCTTTTTTTTTTATATTTTTCAGGAATATTATGGCCCCTAGAAGGCATGTCTGGGGGACTACGATATTTCGCGCTGGCCCTACCATTTACGATACCATCGAATTCCCTTCGAGATATGTTCGAGAAGGGAGCTTCTATCACCGACTCTACGGTTTATAACGGCTTTTTAGTCACATTTCTGTGGATATTCATCAATTTAGGCTTAATATTGTTAAGATTGAAATATAAGAAAACTTAACGTAGGTAATTTTTGTTAACAATAGATAATACAAAATGGCTTTCAAATTGATACGACATACTGCAATAACTTGTTTAATTGTATTGAATTTCACTTATAAAAATTTTAATTATGACCGCAAATTAAATGCATTTTTGGTAAAATAAAAACATTTATGTACAATAAAAATTAAGTTGAATTTAAGTTTAGAAAGATATTCCAACGATGTTTTGTCATCACAATTAGATTTAAAGTGTGTTATATAAGAACTTTTCCGGGTCGCTGTAAATAATAGCTTATTTTAGTATAGTTTTTTAGCAAGATCATTCTGTTTATATTTGTACTTATTTATAGAAAAGAATACATTATAGTAATGTGTTTTTTTATAATAAAAACAGTGGTGAAGTACACTAAAAAAAAACTATAACCTTGATTGTAAAATGCTGTTGTTAAATTTTAGTTAATTATACATTAATTTTAATAAACCAAAATTATTATAAGGAATGCCAGTTAAATTTATATTGTTTTGTGATGTGGGAAAATAATAAATAAAAAACAAATATACTTTTCGTTTTCTTTATGATTTACGTATATTTATTTTATAGTTTATCCAGATTGCATTAGGATATTTATTTGACATTCCTGACGTACTATTTATATCATTAGCCCTGTTTAGGACGCCAGCTGTCTCGAATCTAGAATCACTGCGCTCATATATAAGTACATTTCGTACTTCGTACATTCGGGTCTGTAATGAACGCCCCTTCGGTAGACATAAGCGGTCTTTAAAAAACATTGTTTGTCTGTAAAGTCTGTTTACGGATGATAGTTTTACGAGATAACGTCAGTAGCAGAACTATTCGAACTGCACGTGTCACAAGCCAACGCTTGGGCTGAGCGTGCCTCTCTATCGCTTGCTTCGCGCTCTCGCTCGCACACTCAGGCTCAAGTGGAACGTGACACTTTTTCGTGCGTGCAGCGGGTGTTCATCGATTTATCGTTATCACGTCTAAAGCAACCAATCCCTAGACACGAGTGGGTATGTGAGACCACCAACTCATCTGTCATCTAAGATTTAGGTTAAGTTACCTGTAGGGACGCAGGTTATTATGTAAATAAAATTGTGTGTAGTCGTAACCTGCGGCTGCGCCCGCAAGCTCCGTTGCTTTTTACTTTTTAAGTTCAGTCGCAAATAAACGCTAGGAATAAACCAGTTGTGTTATTTAATCTATATATTAATACGTGAAGCAAAAACTTTATACCCCTTTTTACGAAAATTGCGCGGACGGAAGAGTATGAAATTTCCCAAACTTATAGAGAATATAGAGAAGGAGTGCATAATGCTAATATTTTTTTTAAAATAATGCATAAAAGTTACATTAAATCAATAAAGAAAACATTACACACACTGCCATGTATTTGACACACACACATATTTATATATACTCTTTGATTATTGTCAAACTATAGTTAATGCTAAAAGTCTGTGGTCAAATTGAAAAAAGGTTAATATTGTTTATCTTTACTATTATTTGTCTATAGTGTAGTCTTGGGGAAATCTGTGATTATAGAAGTATAATAAATAGTCTCTGACAACCATAATAAATTTCAAACTTATAATTTCAATTAATTATAGTCGAATTTCGACTACTGCGGGACCAGTAGTTATTATAATTTTCTCACTTCCGATAACGCCCCTAACCATTATTCACTCTCACCACTACCAATATAACCGCTAAAGCGGTGACCCCGTGAGTGAGCACCTTGAAATTTTTAATTAAGGTTTTCATAAATTGAACCCTCAACAAGCCTCAACAATTATATTTTGTAATGTTCATAATGGAATAACAATAACTGGGAACAAATCTCGCACCGCCATCCGGCCCCATATTACGATTTCCAGGTTTATGGATACCAGTAACTGTATAACTATCTGTAGTACTTATCTGGTTGTTAACTGTTTTTTAATCTATCTATCTCTCTCCCCCTGTCTCTCTCTCTTCCCCTCTCTCTCTCTCTCTCTCCCCCTCTCTCTCTCTTCCCCTCTCTCTCTCTCCCCCTCTCTCTCTCTCTCTCTCTCCCTCTCTCTCTCTCTCTCTTCCCCTCTCTCTCTCTGTAAAGCTGGTAAGTATTCGAAACGTCCGAAATAACATAACAACAATAAAAAACGTGACTAAGCCATAAAAGTGTTTTCATTTTGTCTACGACTTGAAGCAATTTCTATGATCCAATTTAATTTACGATAAAATCAGATTTCTTTAAACGAATCATCTACAAAGATGGCCTCAAGAAGTCGTGACTCCATGAAAGCAGCCGCTTGGCATCGCAGGCGCTCGTGATTGATGACCTCTCTTCACTCACCAGGGTCTGACGTCTATAGCAATCAGAAATAATTAAAAATAAAAGAATCAATGCAAAAGCGATTATTGTCATTAAGAATAAACCCCACTTTATGCTATTAATCTCAAGGTTTATTTTAGCGTAACTCTTTAATGAATAACAATTATGTTTTCTTCATGTATTTATTGTAGAACACTACAGTTTGCGTATTTAACATGAAAACTAAATTATTCACTTTGATATTTATTAAAAGTCTTACATTATAATGTCTACATAATTAATATATACAAATTATTGTTTGCACTTCAGAAATTGTTGGACGCATCAACTCCTGTGACGTCAATGAATGACCGAATGAACGAACGAATGATTGAACAGAAATAAAATAAGTAGGAAACATACAATACATACTTTATTATTATTATTAATCTTACATAATTCGATACGCGATTTTAACGTGCAAGTCTATCTGTTGAACTGTAAGGGACAGATACGGAGGCCGAGCGCGTCCTTGCCGATCTCGGCGACCCCGCACACCGGGCACAGCTTCCCCTTGTGTTCAGGCATGAAGCTAGCCGCGCACAGCGAGCACTTTTCCTCCGGCTTGCCGCGGTAGATGGGCTTGTAGCTGATGCCGCAGACGCTGAATGGATTATGCTCGTCGTAGAGCAGCTGGTGCTCATCAGTCGGGGTCTTCTCGCAGGCCTGGAGGATCTTCCGCGCTTGCTGGGCGACCTCAGGCCGGGGTCCGAGCTCTAGGAGGCGCCTCGCGAACGAAGCGGCCGTGCGGTAGTTCTTCAGCTTGAAGAACATGTTGAGGGCCGTCCGCAGCGTGAGGATCTGGTGCACGGGCTGGAGCTTGCAGTGCGTGAAGTAGGCGGCCATCTCGCAGGTACGTTTCTGTTCGTCGACGGTGTTCTTCGGCATCGCTGCGTGTGACAAGTGCGGGACATTAAACTTAGGTACCTACTTATTGTCAAACCGTTTATTGTACACCCGTGCTTTGTCGTACAATAGTATGTGGAAAGCCAACAACAACAATATAACCAAGCTTCGAGTTAATTGCACGGTCTTTCTATATTCTAGACCAGCCTTTCCCAAAGTGGGCGATGACGCCCCCTTCTGGGCGCTGCAGGCCTAAAGGGGGGCGGTAAGAGACCCAGAAAAAAAATTGGGGCGTTGTGTAGAGGCTTGGGTGGCGATTTGTAATTTCATCGGTGAAAAAATGGGGGCGCTAAAAATGATTTTTCTCAAAGTGGGCAGTAGACAAAATATGTTTGGGAGCCCGTTCTAAACGAATCCATTTCACTAATTCAGTAAGTTTTTTTTTTACTTATCATCGTATTGCAGACATTGATTAAACTACGGACATGAGGTCGCAGTCACAGTTGTATCTCATTAGGGTTGTCACTCTCCGAACCGGAATTCATAACACGCCCTACCACTAGTAAAAGGGCTTTAACGATCGCAGTACACTGACACCATAGTCATATGATAGTCGTCTTTCGATGAGCTCGGGAAGAGATGTGCAAGCGTTACCTTTCCTGGCGGTCTCCATGGCGAGTCCCACGAGGTAGTCCCTGCAGACGGCCAATAACTGTTGGGCCTCGGACAGCTCGGCCTTGGAGTCCACCAGCAGCAGCGGCACGCGCTGCGCCACGCCCTGCAGCCGCTCTATGGCCTCGGGGAACCGGCCCGCCGTGGTCAACTGGTAGCTCTGCTGCAGCTGACTCACCAAGTCGCTTAGCTTCAACGCTGGAAACGAAAGTGTCGTCTGAATATACCGTCTTCTCACATTAAAACTGTACTAGTGATTGCTCAGTAGTCGAAATTCGACTATAATTATCAATTTAAATTATAAGTTTGAACATTGTTATGGTTCTATTGTCATAGACTTTACTACTTTAAATCATAGATTTCGCCAAGGCTACACTATAGACAAATAGTATTATAGACAAACAATATTAATCTATTCCTAATTTGAGCACAGACTTTAACGATAAACAAAAGAGTATATATGTGTGTGTGTGTGTGTGTATCAAATACATGTTTTTTTTATTGCTTAAATGGGGGGACGAGCTCACAGCCCACCTGATGTTAAGTGATTACTGGAGCCCATAGACATCTGCAACGTAAATGCGCCACCCACCTTGAGACATAAGTTCTAAGTTCTCAAGTATAGTTACAACGGCTGCCCCGCCCCTCAAACCGAAACGCATTACTGCTTAACACCAGAAATAAGTGGAATGGTGGTATCTACCCGTGCGGACTTACAAGAGGTCCTACCACCAGTAATTACGCAAATCATAATTTTGCGGGTTTGATTTTTAGTTCACATGTTATTCCTTCACCGTGAAAGTCAATCGTGAACATTTGTTAAATACGTATTTCGTTACAAAAATTGGTACCCGCCTGCGGGATTCGAACACCGGTGCATCGCTCAACACGAATGCACCGGACGTCTTATCCTTTAGGCCACGACGACTTCAAAACGGTACCTGGATGACTTACTTATGACAGGCAGGAGATCCTTCCCGGTGGCTTCCTTCCAATTCCTGTGCAGGTACGCAGTGAGCGCGGGCAGCGAGGGCAGCGCGCCGAACGTAACGCGAGCGTGCGCGAACATCTCCGCGAACACAGACTCGTAAGGGGCAAAGTTCACGATTCCGACTTGCTCGTTCAACAATCTGTAATTTTTTTTTAGAAAATCTTGTTCGTCATAAGTGTTAGTGCAAGTTCACACACTAGAACGATGACACGAAGTTATCAAGTATAGCGCATAATATGAGTATCAGTCAACCGTCTGTCATTATCTAACTACCCACTTAAAATTTCTAATTTTTTCCAATTAATTTCAATATTTGAGTGTCGGTGACGGGTCGTGAGCCCTAATGGGACCAATTTTAAGTGACTACTAACTGTACTGACCAATTTTAAGTGACTACTGACTACTAAGCGTAATTACCAGCATCGATACACTGGGATGGTGACCACCTACATCAGGGTTTCCCATATCGACCATTCACACAAAATCGATAACTTAACCAACCCCGCAAAGTTTTTAAATTGGTAAATATTTTGTATCAATACAATCAATAAAAAAAACAATAAGTCGTAATATATCGTCTTTCACGCAATCCATCCATTTTTTTCTTAGGTCTGTCTCTTCCTCTAAAGCCTTCCACATTCATAGCTTAAACTCTCATAACGGATCAAGCAGCGGCGTGACCGTCCTAACGAGCTCTAAGCGAGGGTGCACGAACCTCATGGCGGCCTCAAACTGTCCGGTGGCCACGTGGTCGTGCGCCGTCCGCAGGCGCGCGGCGAGGGGGGCTGAGGCGCCGCGCGTGGGGGCCACGAAGTACTGCTCCGAGTCCTCCGCGGCGCCCATGTCTGCTGTGACCAACACAGTACACTATGAGGACAGTATTGCACGATATTTGAGGCCATCAGCAGAAAAGTGCCTTAACCCACAATTTTTTATATTCATGCTTATGTATGGTTGTGTTTTTTTTAACCTTAATTTAACAGTCATACTTATAATGGTTTGCTGGAAGAAAACTCATGAATGCATGAGTTAAGCTCGCCTTTATACATAGTATTTAGACATTCATTTAAATCTGTTTTTATTGTATTTTCTTTTTTGTATACAATAAGTATAAATAAATAAATATTACATTAATTAAAACATAATAAATTTTGATGCAAAACTGGCCTATACCTAGTTTCAACCATAAACAACAGATGGCTTTGTAAATATTATATTTGCACGTATTGTTTTTTCCTGCGAAGTAGTGTAAAAGTTCATTCAAGCCTTGAAGATCTCCATACTAACTATAGTAAGCTTAAGCCATTTTTGCGCTGACGGCCTCATTTATTACAGGCTGACTGGTTGAACACTTTACATACTCAACGACATAATTCATGGTCACATGTAACGTTTAAAAATATACAATTTTAAAAATACAAATGAACTATAGTAGAATTATTTTGTCCGTGCAGTTTGGGTCATAAAACATGGCCCGGCTAGGGCGGTGAGCATGTTGCGCGGACGCAACGCCATTATCGATAAAAACAAATGAGTCATCGAAGGCAGGCGGCGGGGTGGTATACGAAGGGTGGTGAGACATTGTTAAGTTATAAGTCATTTGTAGTTACCTGCAAATTATAGTACATTATGTCGAAGAGAAATATGTTTTTATGCATTCGTTCTCTGAATTTCTTTAGTGACACAATGGCTACTCCTTTGTTTTGTATCAAAACGGCAGAATATATTCAAAATAATATTTGCACGTGTTGTTATCAACAATGTTAAAATCTTTCACTGAAATAAGAACAGATCCCGAAAAGTTAAAAAGTGTTAATTTCTGCCGTTCTCGTTAACTTGCTGCGGCGATATGTTTATTCATTTTTATCACTAACCCACAAAATGACAAAACTAAATACAGTATCGATAACTCTTATCGACAACAATAATGCGCATCACTATGCCCGTCCATAAGGCTCGTGAGTGGAAGAGAGAGCGAAATACTCGTTTTACCGCTCCGATTTTTTATGACACAAACTGCACGGACAAAATAATTCTACTATAGTATAGATTATCGTGTATGGATTTAAATTTAGAAGATCCTTAGAAGACATTCAAATGTATTATTCTGACAGAAGATCATTGTGACTTGTCTACCGACCAGACACCGGCGCCAGCTCCTCGGGAAGCTCCAGGTCTTCATCACCGACGTCCCAGCCGCCATCTTCGCAGGCGTCCTCCATGATCTCCTCTTCGCCTTCTTCCTGTTTTCATTAGTACATTTTAGGATAACAAGTGATGGTGACATTACATTTTGTTCGCAATACCTACTCTTTCTTCCGTTAGCTATGTAAATTGAACCAACTTCAAATAAATAATAGTTTAAAAAAACAAAAAAAATACGCTTTTATAGAAAATCCAACTAAAAAATATAAAATAAAATTTTAATAAATTTGAATTCAAAATAGTGTAAGAAAAAAGTATTTTATTGTAAAAAAAAAGCGTGGGGTGCATGGTATCAGTAGTAATAAATATTTTATAAACAGATATGAGTAGAAGGGTTGATTTTAATAATATCCTAAAAAGCACCCCACGCTTTGTATAATAAAATCATATTTTCTTACTCTATTTTTAATTCAAATTTATTAAAATTTATTTTCTATTTTTTTGTTGGATTTTCTATAAAAGCGTATTTTTTGTTTTTTTAAACTATTATTTATTTTTAATTTTTTAGTTGAATTTCAATTTTTTAATTTTTTTTGTAAATGTTGAATTGTCATCGGTCCTTAATAAGTATGACAAATTTCGAGTTGATCCGACATTTTGAATGAGTCAAAATCATGTTCAAATATTCCGTTACATACTAACATACATACGTTTGAAGCTAATAAAAGCGTATTAAAAGGGAGGAGGTTCCTGATTTAATGGCTTGATTATTATTATTTTTTTATTTGAAAATACTCCCAGCTCTTTGAATAAAATGTGGTGTTTTAAGAGTGAAGTAGATTCTCATTGTTTATATACGATCAAGTCTAATAATAGGATTGCCAATAGCGTTCCGGTGTATGGACGAAGCGGACCGCGGTTGCCGCGCGATTGGAGCACCTTGAAGTCGCCGTGGCCTAAAGGATAAGACGTCCGGTGCATTCGTATCGAGCGATGCACCGGTGTTCGAATCCCGCAGGCGGGTACCAATTTTTCTGATGAAATATAATATGTACTCAACAAATGTTCACGATTGACTTCCACGGTGAAGGAATAACATCGTGTAATAAACGTCAAACCCGCAAAATTATTTGCGTAATTACTGGTTGTAAGAGCTCTTGTGAGTCCGCAAGGGTAGGTATCACCGCCCTGCCTACTTCTGCCGTGAAGCAGTAAGCCCCGACTAAAGGACAATGCCCATTTTCTATGGGCGTTTGGGCCCCTAAAAAAAGTGGTCGGGTGATGATGATTTTAACTTAATTTGATAGACAAAGAAATATCGTTTCATATTCAGAAAACGATTTTTATATTCTCACCCAGGCTTAAGAGAAATCTGTTTTTTTCTGCAGCTAAAATTAAGTTGTTAATTGTTTTCTTCGAAATCAATAATCGCTCTCATCATTATTTACAGTATTAAATAAGTTAATTGTGGTTAATGTTGCTAGAAATAAGCCTTTACGTACATTTTATTATTATTATATCCTCATAATAATAATAAAATGAAATGAAATCCGGAAGCCGGCAACGATATTGTTGTTGTTGTTTTTAAATTCGCCAACAAGCAGGCAAAGAGCGTAGCCTATACAGCCTAGTCTGTCATAGTTATATTTTTTATATATTTTTTATGTTAATAAAAATCCGGTGTATTTCTTTTTATTGCTTTTTGGGAGTTTTGACGTCAACTTGATGAATAGCACATTGAGTGAGTGTGAATTTCCGCAGACCTTTTATCTTGAAAAAAAAAAAACAGTCACTGCTATGTTAGCCACAGTTTTATTCCAATGCCTCAATAATCGTGAACAACGATTATTGACATTCAATACACAAAACAACACCCAATTTGTATATTATACATCACAATAAGCTATTAAAAAAACATAAAATAAAACTTCAAGTGACGCTTCACTCGGGTTGCTGCCAAAACTCTCTGATCATCTATACTAATATTATAAAGAGGAAAGATTTGTTTGTTTGTTTGTTTGTTTCGAATAGGCTCCGAAACTACTGGACCGATTTGAAAAATTCTTTTTCCATTAGAAGCCGACATTGTCCCTAATGAACATAGGCTACTTTTTTTTTAATTTTTTTTTATTTATTTTTTTGTTTCATGTGTCTTTTAATGTTTCCGAAGCGAAGCGAGGGCGGGTCGCTAGTATATAATAAGAATAGAGGTAGGCCATTGAGATTTTTACTAATGGAATCATTAATATCTAAAAATATTAAATAATTCATGGTTTTAAGTAATAATTATTATTACAATACATAAATATTGAATTGAACAACAATAAACTAAAAAGTCTGTGAATTATAACCATTAGCAATTTTTTTAATTTGTTGTTCAAGTCACAGACAACTCTTTCGTTTGTCAGCATATAAGCATATATAAGGCTGTATGGGCTAATTTTCCCTTTGTCTATTGGCGAATTTCAAAACTATGGCACTCAGTTTTGGGATGTTATCAAATAAGTGATTTATATTTTTGTAAAACAATGCCAGGGTGAAAGAAATGTTGATACATAAACTAAACAACATGAAAAAATAAGGCATAGTTTTTCAAGTACAAATAGTTTTGTCATGAAGTTGGCCCACTTTTGGGCATTGTCGTTTTCTGGCTTAATTTTTTATTTATTTTTTAAACATAAAACTAATACATATATAAATTGCATGTTCCTTAACATATTTTTTTTTTTTAAAATCATATTTTTAAAGATTTAAGGGCTTATTTAGCGCCGCTACTCACCAGTCAGATCTGTAGTTCCGAGTTGGGGTGTATCAGGAGAGGTATGGAACAAGTTTTCAGCTTGCCTCAAATACCTACCCAAAAATTGGTGCCAGCTCTCGGACTATAATGCGTTTCGGTTTGAAGAGTAGGGCAGCCGTTGTAACTATACTAAAGACCTTAGAACTTATATCTCAAGGTGGATGTCGGCATTTACATTGTACATGTCTATGGGCTCCGTTAATCACTTAACACCAGGACGTGAGCTCGTCCACCCATCTAAACAATAAAAAACAAAAAAAAACCTTATGGTCGGGCAGCACGTCGTCGTCTCCCCAGGCGCCCGCGGCCTCCAAGGGCTCGTCAAGGGCGGCCGCCACCGCGCTGCCGGAGCCCTCGGCCGCCGCCCGCGCCTGTCCGGCCACTTCGAAGAAACTCCTGAGGAAATACACCTGATGCAGACTACTCCTTACGCTACCTCATAATTGCCACGTTTTAATTTCCATAAATTAACAGTCAGCGTAGATAGCAGGTGATCGTGTATTACTGGTGGTAGGACCTCTTGTGAGTCCGCACGGGTACCAACCACCCTGCCTATTTCTGCCGTGAAGCAGTAGTGCGTTTCGGATTGAAGGGTGGGGCAGCCGTTGTAACTATACTTGAGACCTTAGAACTTATATCTCAAGATGGGTGGCGCATTTACGTCGTAGATGTCTATGAGCTCCAGTAACCACTTAACACCAGGTGGGCTGTGAGCCCGTCCACCTAACTAAGCAATAAAAAATAAGTAAAGCTTACTAACTTCGAGACAGCGAGCAGGGGCCAGTTGGGTTGGTTCCGCTGTATGGGCAGCGGTGGGCGGAGGAACACCGCGTCTGGGTTCGCCTCCGGGACCGGCATGCCAGCGGACTCCAAGGCGGCCTTCAGCTGCTCCGCCTCCTCCACTTGCTTGTGGTTGATCGCCGTCAGATACGCCAGGGACAGCTGAGATGTATATTAATGGCAGACATATATTACTGATATAATCTTAATATATATAAATCACGTGTCACCGTTGTTTGTCCGCGATGGACTCCTAAACTACTAAACCGATTTTAAATTAAATTTGCACACCGTATGCAGGTTCATCAAACTTGAAAGATAGGATGGTTTTTATTTCGATTAACGGTCGCAATATTTATTAATTAACAATAAAATGACTTGTTATGTTGATTTTTGTTTTTAATTGTAAGTTTCATAAGTCTAAAACAGATGGCGCCTTAAATAAGTTTTTATAGACAATTATAATACTGCCTGACATTAATATCTCATAGATGGCGCTGTGTTAAAAATACTAACGTTTCACTTATGCTACAATTTATTGGCATAAACACCAGGTGTTGCTGAGGCTAAAGTATTAGTGAAAATTATTTCGTAGTAAACGCAATACAGTGAAATCCAATTGTTTTTACTTTGTAAATTTTTTTATTAGCATAGCCGGCCGCGTGTTTTTTAGAAATAAAAATCTTAGCCACAGCAAAGTGTGGCCGGGTCTTCTAGTTGTATAATAAAATCAATTAACTAAGAGGGTTTTAGTGGTGTTAATACATCTTGTGGCCTGGCAGTGGTAGATACTACCACCCTACCTATTCTGTGGTAAAGCAGCAGTAATGTCGTTTGAATTTGATGGATGAATCAGCTGTTGTACTGTAAAACTGACACTTGGAACTTATTTCTAACAGTAGGTGGCGCTCCACTTAACATGACGTAAAACTAGGTGAGTTAGTCTACCTATTCATCTATATATATAAAAAGGAATTGCTGTACGTTAGTCTCGCTAAAACTCGAGAACAGCTGGACCGATTTGTCTAATTTTGGTCTTGAATTATTTGTGGAAGTCCAGAGAAGGTTTAAAAGGTAGATAAATATGAAAATGCTCAGAATTAAATAAAAATACAAATTTTGTTTTTCCTTTGATGCGTCCCACCCGTCGGATTACTTTTGTTTGTTTAAGTTTATTTTATACAAAAGTTTAGATTTTTTATTTAGTGATTGAGGCACTACGAAGTCTACCGGGTCAGCTATCAAGCAATAAAAAATATGTAACCTTTCTATACACGAAAATTGAATCTCTAAAATATTTTTTTTAATCAACTTACTCTCGCCATACAAAAAAACCACACCCTGTATGACCCCGCCAACACTACCGCGACGTGCACAGCGGGTCCCCCCCCCCTCACCTGTCCCGAGTTCCTCAGCAGCCTTATCCGTTCGCCGACGTCGCCGAGGAGCAGCGCCCCTTGGAACTGGGCCGAGGTGTCCTTCCTTATCTCGGCTATCTTCATCATCTTGCGCAGCTTCTCCAGATTGCCGGTCACCAGGTACAGGAACGAGAGCTTGTCGAAGTTCTTCGTGCGCTGGTAGCACATCTCGACGATCTGCCGGCGGAAACGGTAACTCGGCTTGTGAGAAGTTCATCTTCATTAGTTGACAACAAAATCACATTTGACAACAAAAATATAATTGATGAGGACTTTTTGGCGGGAACGTGAAGTTGTGTGATTTGTTTTGTCTATTTCGTATTTCTTCTACTGTTTATTATCTGTGAAAGTGCACAAATGTTGGAAAATGAAACAAAGCCGCCGCGCCGGACGTAACTTTTCGGGATCCTCCAAAAAGTCCACTGAAAAAAAATCCCAGTAAATGACCACCATTTTACTCAGATTATATTTCATCCCATATCATCTCATTTCGTTTCATTTCATTTCACTCCATATTATCATTTCTCATAAAAATAAGAATATAATTTAAAAAATAAGACATGGTCTTAGTTACCAGGTCATAAAATCCCTTAAAAAAAGGTATATATAATTGATGAATCGATTCATCAGTATGGTGACATCTTCCGAGTCCGTGCTTATGTTCCACTACCTAGCCTAGTTCTGCTGCAAGCAGTGCCATCCAGTTCGAAGAGTGGGGGGTGCGTTCCCCTGCCGTACTATACCTGGTGGTTCCCAGTCGTGAGGGCAGCTTTGGCCAGCTGGTCCCAGGCGGCTGGCTCGTCCAAGCTCTTGGCCGCCTCCAGAGCCACCTCGATGTTCCCGCACTGCAGGGCCAATGAGAGACGCGTGCGGGAGTCCTTCACGAAATGAAGCGCCACTTCGGGATAGCCTGACACACGAAAATTATATATCGACGCTTGAAAGGTAAACGTGACTAAGCGACAATGCGTGAACTTTACAGTAGACTAATTTAAAGTTGAAATACCTGAAAAAATTTCTATTTTAATGAATCTAGCTGTAGGATTGAAATGATTTTACTAGACTTAGAAATATATTTTTTTTGCGCATCGAATATGGTTATTGCCTATCATTTATGTATAAATTCTCTCTGCGTCTATGCGTCTATGGAGTTCAGTAACGGCTTGTCACTATTTGGGCCACGTGAGGAGATTTTTGCCTAATAAACTTGCCTGCCTGCCTGGTGGTAGGACCTCTTGTGAGTCCGCACGGGCAGATACCACCATCCTGCCCATTTTCTGCCGTGAAACAGTAATGCGTTTTAGTTTGAGGGGCGGGGCAACCGTTTTAATTATACGGAGACCTTAGAAACTCCTCGAGGTGGGTAGCGGCATTTATCTTATAGGGCTCCGGCAATCACTTAGCTCCGGGTGGGCTGTGAAATCGTCCACCCAGTATGCAATAAAAAAAATATATTGATAAACCACAACGCACCTTTCTCCTGCAAGTAGGCGATGATGCTCTGCCCGACAAGTTTGGCCGTCCGCACCATGTGCAACACCTGATCGTATTGGCGCGTCACTAGAGCTAATTTGAATCTAAAACCAAAAAGATTATTTTGTTCATAACCTATATAATGTATTGTATGTAAGTATGTATATTGGTATATATTATATGTAAACGGTATATATCTGTTTATCTATATGTAAATATTTTCTATAATAATGTATTGTCTATGGTACATCGCAACATACCAGCTATATTTTTATATTTTCCAGAATTTCTGTAAATTAAACGGTTGTCTGGAAGAGATCGCTTTTATCGATAAGACCGCCTATTATACAAATGTATCTGCTTTTTGACTGTTTTTTTTAATGTAAATTGTGTTTTGGTGTGCAATAAAGTGTATTATCTCTCTATTGAACATATACAGGGTGATTTTTTAACTTGATCACTTAAAAACTATCTACCGAGCCAAAAGTCCACATCCAATAGTACAAAGCTAAGACTTTAATCTTTTTATTTTCAGAGTACACACACGTATGAGACAAAAGCCTGAATTCTAAAGAACACCAATCATTAGACCAGGTCAAATGACCAGTTTATTTCGTTATTATTCAAAATTCTCATTCCAATCTCATCTCACAGCTTACTTAAATCTTATCCTTATCAATTAATGGAGCGATACAGGGTGTGGTTTTATATTATGAACGGACGTGTTTTCCGCCCACATCAGGAAAATATTCGTAGGACTTACAAATTTCTTTACCAGTACAAACGTATACATATAAGGATGTATGTCAGTCTCCGATTCTCATAGAACAAGGAATCCTAGTTCAGGGTCACATATTGAAATGTTTTAGTTATTAACTTTATATGATACTAGCCGTACTCGCCCGCTTCGCTGGGCATTTAAAATTAACATTATTATTTATTGTCATTATTATTAGTGAGTCCAACACTCATATAACTCTCATACTATAATTCTCATGTTGTGTTTGTTATTTTAGCTGTTCTACACACACTCATCACTATTTCTCATAATCCTCTCGCAGGTCTGCTGGAAGAGATTTCTTAAAGAAATAAGTAGTGCATAATTTTCCTATTATTCTGTACTATGTCTTATTTTTTGTGTGTACATAAATAAATAAAATAAAATAAATATTATTCATTAAGTATGTATGTATGTATGAAACTTGGTATCCATGTATTTTCTACATGGATACCAAGTTTCAAGTCAATCGAATGCATGGTTCAGTAGTTATAATGGAACATCCGTAAAAACCACTCTAAATTTATATATTACTATAGATTAAGTGTATATCAGTGTAAGGTTCGCGTAGTAGAGTGAGCCTAATTTGAGGCCAGACGATGAATTAATAATTAATTTGGATATAGTTAAAACTAGCCTGTATTCCGTGGGGTCGATGTTGAGTACTTTGGGCCTGCATTCTCGGTCCAAGCACACCACGCGCGCGCCCGTCTCCGTCGACAGCACGCGCACCGCGTACACGGGCACGTCCAGAGTTCGGATGATGCCGTAATCGCTGTGGGAAAAACAACAACAAAAACTCACGTCATCACGGATCCTCACGTTCCATTAACGGTGCTTTTAGGTACCATAAGCACCGGTCACCGTCCTCGTCGAACCCATCGACTAGTAAATTAACCCATAGACACACCCCACTGAGTTTCTGAGTTCACCTAATAGTTCGGTGAATCTAGAATAACCCCTTGAGGTTAATAGAATAGGTAGAAAAAAATAAATGAAAAAAACACGTGTGGCACTCGGGGACTGCCGCGGTATAGCTATTGCATAGCATTTCTTATCAACATATGCAATTATAATTAGACAATAATAATTCAATATTAAAACAATAATAACAATAAGACCACGCCATATTTATAAACATTAACAAAAGCAAAACATTAACTGTCCCCTTCACACTCATAAGTTAGACCACGCGAGAGTGAGATGGGCAGACCTTTCATGATGCACATACAGTGCGACGTCACGCCGCGCGCTTATTCACAAACACTACACAAGCGCAACGTGTGAATGTGTTGAACGCGAGCTACATGGTAGGCGGAGTGGGGGGTGTTAGGTTTTATTTTCGTTACGGAATTTCTTGATTCGGTCGCCGCGCTCAAAGTCCGCGATAAAAGCTATGCAATAGCTTTAAAAAAAAAACCTTGCATCGTTTTCTTTGACAGCCACTGTAGTGATTAGCGTAGTGGACAGGCGATAAGTCGTTCCTTCAAACTGGAATTTACTACTACTTCCATGACTTCCCAACGATTCTATTGACCAGAAGATACTCACCCATCCTTACAGCAATACTTGATGTGATTGGCCGTGGTGTATATGAACACGGGCTGCGGTGTGGAATCATCGAAGGCCCCGGACTTGACTCTGGCCCCTTCGGTGATGCAGCACAGCTGCTCCAGCTTCTTGGTGCATAGCGTGACCGTGTGCTTGCCCAACAGAGCCACTATTGACATATCGGTATTCCAAATGGCGTAACGGCATTTCGATACTTTCACCTGAAAATATGTAATTCAAATTAGCTATGTTATTTGTAGGCAGCGGCTTGGCTCTGCCCCTGGCATTGCTGAATTCCATGGGCGACGGTAACCACTCACCATCAGGTGGGTCGTATGCTGGTCTGCCTACAAGGGCAATAAAAAATAAATAAATAAATGTGTGCGAGCCCGCGTTTGATGTTCTGGCCGCAAAGCATTACATTCTTATCCGACCCATGTCCCGAAGCATGTCTTGTTGGATCCCTTGGATCCACTCTCGATGCTTTTGGGCCGTCAAGTACCGGTCATAACGAACTGATCCATAGACACAGCCCACTGAGTTTCTCGCTGAATCTCCTCAGTGGGTCGCAAGTCCGATCCGGTGGTAGATTCAGCGAAGCACTTCTCTTGCTAGGACTAGTGTTAGCAAATTCTCTCAGGTTGAGCCCGTGAGCTCACCTACCTGTCCAGGCGTAGTTGGAATAACCCCTTAAGCGCCTAGTGAATAGGTAGGAACAAAAAAGCAGTACATTCTAATTTCAAAAATAATATTGTAGTTACCACAGTGCACGCATGCACGCATGCACGCACGCATATACGCCCGTACGCACGCATACACGGACACATGTACACGCACTCACGTACCGTAACGGTAACAACGATGTCAATGCCAAATATAACTCACGGAAGCAATGGTCCTCTTCTGTTGTACGTCGAGCAATTGCACGGAGTCGGCTTCGCGGAGCAGCAGCATCCCCGTGCCGGCATACATGATCTCCTCGCAAGTCGGAGTCGAGATCTTCTTCGACACTTCGTTCTTCAGATTCCTGATCACGAGCTGTGGCGGGATGCGAGATTATCGTAAAACATTTAGACGCCTGATAAGATGATCAATGAAATGAAAAACCAATGTATAGCGCGTTTCAAAAGAGAATGTTCACGTCAATGACCTTGAACTGTCAAAGTCCGATAAAAAAAAATCTCTTTTTTTTAGTGAATTTTTTGCATAATTATGAAGACTTAATATGTTTGTTTTAATGAACCATACACATCTATACAATTTCCATGTAATTTTGAGTACTGATCGAGGTAAATTAAACATGAATTTAGATTATATTCTATAAAAAATATATATATAAAAAAAATCCACCTATTTAAAAATTAAGGCTGCAACACTGTCGAGCCCTACAATCTATGGATGGGCGAAGATGATGATAATTACTAAAGCAGTGGGATGAGTGGAATCGGCAAACTCGAAGATTTGGATTATAAATAATAAATTAAAAAATTCCTACCTTTTTTACTGAATTTACCTTAATTTTTTTTCGATTTGACAGCTATGACGTCACAATATGGCGCAGGTCCATGCACATTCTTATTTGAAACGCATTTTAAATTCGTTAATGCGACAGCGAGGTGCATTGTATTTTTTTTTATTGCCCTTTTTGGCACACGCGCACACGGTCTACCTTGTAGCGAGTGCTTACTGTCGCCCATGGGCGTCATCAATGCCAGGGGCAGAGCCAAGCCGCTGCCTACCGTTAAGTACTCTCCAAAAGACTCATTTGAAAGGACATGTCATAGCGCTCTGGAAACACCGTGGAGGGGAGCTCATTCCAAAGCCAGATGATACGTGGCAAAAATGTCTCTGGAAACGCACTGTGGATGAACGCAGTGGCTCCAGGTAGTATGGATGAACTCTGCTCCGGTAGCGGGCGGTGCGATGGTAAAAACGAGATGTTGGGATCATTTCAAACAATAAACCAATTTACAAATCAACAAACAATCTAAAAACCAAGCAATTTTTTTTTATTCCCTTGTAGGCTGAAGAGCATACGGCCCACCTGATGGTGAGACCGTCGCCCATGGACTTCAGCAATGCCAGGGGCAGGGCCAAGCCGCTGCCTACCGATTACCTGGTTGTTCTTCTCTAGTGCGGCGAACCGATTCCTGGCGACCCAGATGGCAGTGGTGGCCTGCCCCCTGGCCGGCTCCGTACCCTCGGGCACGGCGCCGCTGTGGTCCCGGGGCGCGGCGTACAGCTCGTAAGAGCAGTTCTCACCGTTGCGCCACGTCACCAGCACGCACCACTCGGCGTGGTTCAACGACATGCTGATAGCATAAACACCGTAAAAGTACCGGAACACTCAATAGAATGCGCACAAAATGTAACCTATCAAAAACTTCTACACGTCGTCGTATCCCAAAGGATAAAACGTCCAGTGCATTCGGTTTTTTACTAGTGCTAGGATCTCTGGTGAGTCCGCACGGGTAGGTACCACCACCCTGCCTATTTCTGCCGTGAAGCAGTAATGCGTTTCGGTTTGAAAGGTGGGGCAGCCGTTGTAACTATACTCGAGACCTTAGAACTTATATCTCAATGTGGGTCGCGCATTTTACGTTGTAGATGTCTATGGGCTTCAGTAACCACTTCACACCAAGTGGGCTGTGAGCTCATCCACCCATGTAAGAAATAAAAAAAAAAACTGCTTGCACCGGTGTTCGAATCCCACAGGCGGGTACCAATTTTTCTAATGAAATACGTACTTAACAAATGTTCAGGATTGATTTCCACGGTGAAGGAATGACATCGTGTAATAAAAATCAAACCCGCGAAATTATAATTTGCGTAATTACTAGTGGTAGGACCTCTTGTAAGTCCGCACGGGTAGGTATCATCATCTTGTCTATTTCTACCGTAAATCAGTATCGCGTTTCGGTTTGAATGGTAGGGCAGCTATTTTACTATAAAAACTGAGTTAGAACTGATGCCTTAACGTGTATGGCGGCATTTACGTTGTAGATGTCTATGAGCTCCGAAATCCACTTAACACCAGGTTGGACCGTGAGTCCGTCCGCCCGTCTAGGAAATAAATAAAAATCTCACTTACTGGTTGGAAATTTCACAAAAAAAAAAAAAAAAACATATTTTACTCTCCTAATTCTCGCACTGGTTTTACAATTTATATTGTCACACATTTGCCCGGTCCCGAGCGTGAAGCTAAACGGTACGTTATTCATGAATTAAATTCTCATTAAAAACTCACCTGTAAGGCTGTTGGCGACCACCGCCCTTCGACAAGTGCATTACTGGGGCGTCCCGGTTGGTCAGCATGTCTAACTTGCGGAGGTGTCTGAAACAACAACACAATTCATCTATACTAATATATAAATCTAGTTGTTTTTACGGATGTTCCGTTATAACTACTGAACCATGCATCCGATTGACATGAAACTTCGTATCCATGTAGAAAATACATGTACTTAATGGATAGGCTAATATTTATATGAGTGTTGGACTCCCTACACCAGTTGCGGGGGCGTTAATGGTGAGAATCTTTCTGGGGGTGAGAAATAATAATGTTAATTTTAAATGGCCAGCGAAGCGGGCGAGTACGGCTAGTCACCTTATATAATCTAACTAGACTCGAGTCGACTGACGTTGTCCCCTTTAATGTATAATTGACATTTTAAAAAATAACTGGTACTGGACGGATTTGTGAGTCTAAACCATATTTACAAATAACACACACAAAGTCATTATATTTAAATCACTAATTATTATTGCAATCACTGATTGTTTAAGTAATTTGACCGTCTGTATAATTAAGATAGTGCCATGTCAGGACTGAAATCCACATATTTCAATGTTCCCTGAAGTACATTGCCCACCGTGACCTTCTATGCTGATGATTGTCAAAATAAACCATTTTCAAATTATATTGATAAAAAAAAAAGACAAAAACCTATTAGATTTTAATCACTAATTATTATTGTAATCTTCCATTGTTTAAGTAATATAACCGTCTGTATGATTAATATTAAGAATTCCACATGACCACGACTGCTCTGCCAAGAGCAACCGATTATAATGATGATGATGATTAATATGGTGCCAAGTCAACAATGCAGTGCACATATTTTAATGTTCCCTGAAGTACAGTGCCGACTGTGGCCTCCTGTGCTGACGGGCCCACGAGTTACTGGTGGTAGGACCTCTTGTGAGTCCGCGCGGGTAGGTACCACAACCCTGCCTATTTCTGCCGTTAATCAGTAATGCGTTTCGGTTTGAAGGGTGGGGCAGCCGTTGTAACTACACTTGAGACCTTAGAACTTTATATCTCAAGGTGGGTGGCGCATTTACGTTGTAGATGTCTATGGGCTCCAGTAACCACTTAACACCAGGTGGGCTGTGAGCCCGTCCACCCATCTAAGCAATAAAAAAAAGTATCAAGATTACACTCTTGTACCTGTTTTTAATGTAGAACAGCATATTGTTGTGAACTGCATACGCTGGTCGTTCACGTTGCAGCTTGAAGAGTACCATTCCACCGTCGTGTCCCGCCGCGAACAAGTTCAGCGTGGGGTGGGACGTCAACACCCAGTACCTGTCAAATTGACACTGTTTGTACAATTTCCAATGTACAATATCCACCAAATGCCTATATAGAGTGCTCCAATATTTTAGTCATATAGCAAGAAAACCCTCTGACAACCTGGAGAGACTCATAGTGACGGGTAAAGTGGATGGAAGACGATCCAGAGGTCGGAGTCGAAAAAGATGAAGTGACCAAGTGTCCGAGCATCTGGACATGACACTGAGCCACGCACTTCACTGTGCCACTGACTGACAAAAGTGGCTACAAGTTACAAAAAAAGGTCACAGGCAGGCGCATCACGATGCTCAGCAATGAGCGATCGACTGAAGGAGGAGGTACAATATCAATGCTTTTCAAAAAAAATGCCGCATCCATTTTTTTCAATGTCCATTTCTAACATAAGGTATTTCTAACATAGACATGGAGATCGAAGACGCAATTATATTTTACTAACGGCTGTCCCCCCTCTTCCTTCCTCTTCCAAAACCTATTACGCCATAAAAAAAAATATGTTTGTTACCCCTGTAAGTTTTTAAGGAAATTCCAATTTCCAATCCAATTTTTAAGGAAATTCCAATTTTCGAAAATCAGATCTAATTATTAAGATTCGGAAACCCATACGATAACAGTTGAAATTTCTAAAAAATATCCCGTTTACCACCTAAAGAGAAAGAAGATCAAACCAGCTTCACGATAACATAATTCGTTTACCTCTCGTGTTCCCTTCTAAAGGACTGCAGGAGAGTCCTTTTAGACATGTCCCAAACTCTGATATAAAGATCCTCGCTGTTAGATATGATGAGTTCGTGTTTCGCGTGGAACAAAACACAGGAGACATTGTTGTAGTGGCCGCGACATGTATCCACTTCCCAGGCCTGGAAAAGTGGCATATAATTCAAGTTGTAAATCGTAAAGTAGACACTCATGTATTCTGAGTACATCATTGCATGTGGGGAACCACTGAGGTGTTCGGTGAGGGTGGTATATACTTCTAGGAAGTGGTGGTATATCATTGGCAAAGTGATCTTGAGAGATAATTTTGTGGATAGCAGCTAGTCTCGGCATTCAGTACTCAACTTCAAGTTTATTAGAAATTTAGTATAAACATATTGGACATTATTATATGAATTGTAGAAATAGTTTATCATTTATTATTATTTTATTTATTAAATAATTAAAGTAGAGGTTTTCAGACAGATAGCTTTGAAATATTTTAATCGGGACTTTGCTTTGTAACTTTCCTGCAAATCGATTTTCGCTAATTTATTAGGCGGCTTGAACTATGACGTTGAATAATGCAACATGATGACTATATAATGAAGCTTATAATTTTCGTATTCCTGAATTTGTTTATATTTAAAAAAAAACTTAAATTAACATAATTTATTTATTTGATTTGGTTCATTAATCTAGTAGTTATTATAGAGATGTACATATGCTTATTTATTAATAAGGTATTTGTCAGACATTATTGGTGACAATAACCTTCAAAAACTATACACTAAAGCCTTACCTTAGAATCATTCATTCTCCAAAGCTTCACTTGTCTGTCATCTGCAGCAGATGCGATCAGTGGTAAAGTAGGATGAAAACAGGCCCAGTTTACACCCCTATCGTGGCCCTCCAAGACGTGCTTCACAACAGCATCAGCCTGCATGTACAGTTGCTTTAGCAACGGAACCGCAGGGATTTTGATTAATAAAAATAATTAATTAAATAAAATAAAAAAATCATAATAACAAATAGCTGTTTTTTGTTTGTATGAGATGAACAGAAAATATATTTACAAAGAATGATTGGATGATTGTGTATGGAGGTTTGGATCAAATAAAATGGGTGTATTTGGATCGTTTTGGGATATTAGTACAAACAGATATTCAATAGATACTGGTTAAAAGTAAATAATTACAATAAAATAAACAAAATATAATTATTACATATTTGAAAGCAATAATATATGCTGGGTATATATTTTTCATTTTGAAAGAATTATTTTAACTCACCAAAATCCCAATAAAGATAATTTAAAAATATTATTCAGTACATAGTCGACACACAGTGTCATGCTGTGATTAAAGAAAATTAAACATATGAGTCGTCTATTATCAAAGGTGGCAATATGTGCATTTGGACAAAAAAATGTTATTGATATGTCAATGCAGATTGATTTGAATATAATCGTCTCCTTCAAAGAATACGGTTCAAAACCTGCATTAAATAAAGATTAATACTTAACCTGTTATTTATCTAAGATGTCGTTCAAAAGAGTTTTGTGACTGCCAATGGAATACAAAGTCAATAATTCGTTTTTCTGATTTACCAATAATTGTCCAAAAGTCACATTGCCGGCTTTGATAATAGTCGACTCATATGGACATCTTGTAGATTAACCCTAGCTTCAGGATCACCATTACTTCCTCGGATATTTTGAATGCATAGCCATAATCCCTGATGAAAGCAGTGACACCAATTGACCAACCACTAGCGTTACCTGTCCAAAAAGATCTGTTGCTTGTGGATTCCTTAAGTGTTCAGTCAGTCCAGCAGGTCCTGGAGCAACACTCTTTTTTCTCAGTCCAGAGAAATCCCAGACTCTTACAGACTGGTCTAATGAAGCAGAAACAAGAAGATCTTCAGTGGGATGGAATTGAGCACACATTACATAATGGTTGTGGCCGGTGAGAACACTTATGCATTGTCGAGACTGCCAATTCCAAATTCTTATGGTCTGAAATAAAGCAATAAATTTGTTTTTTTAGGCTACTAAATAGACAGCAGGAAAATGTTTTAAAATAACGTAACATAATCACAATAATATACATGAGATTAAACTACAAAAGTTATTTTTTTTTTATTATCTCTACAAATACTACTGATGCACTAATGCAACAAAAGTAATTTGATAGCTGTTAATAATTTTGTATGCAGCCCATGATCTGGTTACCTACAATGGTGGATTATTGTATTGTATGTACATATTTGAATATCTTCTAGTAAATAAAAATAAAAATGAATTTATTATTTATTATACAAATTACATTTAATTCATTCATTAATTAAGTAGCAAGTTCACTAGTTTCATCGTAAAAATTATGATTTAGTTGCAAAAAATGTACAATCTATTTAGTAAAATTTAGCCTGTTTATTGAAATGCTTACTTAAACAGATATGCTTTAAACAATGAATTTAGTTACCTGATCATCAGATGCACTTAAAATCCATGGGTATTCATGATGGAAGAATGTTGTACGTATATAATCCAAGTGACCAAGCAATGTGAATAGACATCTTCTTTGTTTGTAGTTCCAGACCTGGTAAAAAATTTTTTGTGTTAATATCATAATCAAAAGCCATTACAAAATAGTCAAACCAATCCAGCTAAAGCTTAGCTTTTTAAGGTTTAAATGTATTTAAAAACCTTTTGTGAATTATGAAAAGTAATTTGAGATGTAAATAAAACCTTTATAGTTATATATACTGCAAGTATGGCTTCCTTGAAAGTCTCAGCATTATTAATTTTTTTCAAACATTATATTATTAAGTATATAATACAAATTTAAATGATTTCAATTATTTTCAATTCCATAGCTCTACACTACATAGTCTTACAGGTGGTAAATCACATTATTAAAGTGCATGATTATATACAACTGTCTATTTTTGGGACAGACCAGTTATGCATTCTGAAACAACAATAAAGCCTTTACAATAATTTATATGATACTTCAAACTCATATTCTACCGTGAGTGATGCATGTTTTAACATCTATGCTCCTAATACTCTAGTATCCTATGTAGTCACTACAAAAAATGTTTGCTGTGAGTTATTTTAAAACACATAATGAAAAATAAAGTAGAATTTAGTTAGTAAAAGAATGAAATCTTGAATGACAAAAATATTTTAATTGTTGTGTAATTATGAGCAATTACTTTTATTTTAGACTACAACCTTTTCAAACTACTTCAAGTACTTCTCCTTAGTGTACTTATTTATTTATTTATACAAACAATAAACACATCCAACAATTCAAATCCACTCAACGAAACCCTATCTCAGATCTTAATAATGAATGGCAATAGCTTATCCACTGTAATAATAACCTCAGCTTATTTTCCAACCTAAATCTTTCTCTAATTCCTATTTTCAGTATTTATGAAGAGTTGCAAGCTCACATGAGATGAGATAATATGGTACCACTCTCCCATCTACTGCTACCTTTTTTTTTATTTATTCTTTATTAGAGCCTCACACCTATTAGGTGAAGTCGGCTTACTGCTAGTTTAAATTCTTAAAATTTGTTTTTACCAAAAAGATTCCACATGATTCTAATAAAATTGAGACTTTGGTTCTAGTATATAAATATGGGCAGTGAGTAGCATTCACGTTGTGTTCAAACTCCAATAAACGCATTATACAGTACTAGCTTTAGAAGGGCATTTTTGTTGCATGCATTTGGACAAAATACTTGAAATTATAAAAACCTAATTTTTGTTAACGAATCAGTTCTATAACAAAACAAAAATCGTTAAAATTTGTAATATCAGTGCTTTAAATTTTAAAACTAAACAAAATAACATTGTCTTAATCTTAGCTTACTTATAAAATTATTAAAATCTAAAAACATTTCGCCTTCGCAAAGATGCACAAAACCAAACATTCCATGCCCGGAATACGTGTCAAAAGCATGACAGATTAATATCAACAATAATTGTAATTATCCTAGCAAAAGAACTAACGGCATATTAGGGCTTATACCTTAATCTTGTAGTCATCTCCGCCCGACACGAAAAGAGGCTGTTGAATATGGAAGCAAATTCCACGTACTGGACCATCATGTTCATCAAATTTCTCAAGTAATGTACACATACGATAATCCCAAAGTTGAATCACACCATTGTGCAAACTAGCCAGCACCCATGGTCGCTTAGCATGAAACGATATGCCTTTCACCCGCGCAGACTTCGTCTCGAATTTTTTTAACATTTTGATTCAAACACCGCTGAAATAATACGAAAAACTACAAAAATTAAAACAAGCGCAATGACAGCCAACCGGCTGACGTGACACGTCCAACACAGAATAGTGCTGAGCTTGTAATTGATCAAAATTGAAAATATCGACAAATCTGAACAAAACTATCGATGTTAATTTGATCAAATCATTAACTAATTTTGAATGGAAACGAATAAACACACCAATTAAAATCACATATTTCGTATCTTCTTAATGGTTGTAATCATCAGTATAATTAGCGTTATTAAAAAATTTTGAGAGTCGGGTAGCCTGGTTGAGTTAAATTTATCTTTCCTGTGTGCTTAGTGCGAGTTTTGTAACGTTCTCGATAGCGAGCCAGTTTGCTCAAATTTGTATGCAATTGGAACAGCGCCCCTAGCGGCAAACGTACCCGGTGTTATTTTGTGAGTGCGAGTTCATATTAACGTTGTGATCTCGTAACCGAGTAATTTTACCGAAATGAGTACCACGAATGACATTTGTGCGAGTGCGNGATTCATAAGCTTACCACTAGGTGGCACTGATACAACCTCACACAAATTAAACATAACATTAACATCGACTGAGTAATTAAAAAAACTCGCACTAAGCACAGGTACATTACCCATTACCCGACTAATTATAAATATCGTTAGAAAGCTTGGCATTTCAATTAAACGCCTTAAAAAAAACCTTGCGTGCTACCAATATAAAAGAAAAAAAATATCGCTTCTCAAGATGAATAAACGTCCTGCAATTCGAGTAACTCGCACTCAGAGCTCCGCACGTTTCACCGTGAAGAGCGTACACTCGATGCGAGTCATTCGATTCGATTTTTGAAACTCGCACTAAGCCTACTGATGAATCAATGGTTAACTTTTTTATTTATTGCTTAGATGAGTGGAGGAGCTTACAGCCCACCTGGTGTTAAGTGGTTACTGGAGCCTATAGACATCTACAACGTAAATGCGCCACCCATTTTGAGATATAAGTTCTAAGGTCTCAAGTATAGTTACAACGGCTGCCCGACCCATCAATGCGAAACGCATTACTGCTTCACGACAGAACTAATGGTGGTACCTACCCGCGCGGACTCACAAGAGACCCTACCACAAGTAATTACGCAAATTATAATTTTGCGGGTTTGATTGTTATTACACGATGTTATACCTTCACTTTGGGAGTCAATCGTGAACATTTGTTGAGTACGTATTTCATTAGTAAAATTGGTACCCGCCTGGGATTCGAAACACCGGTGCATCGCTCAACACGAATGCACCGGACGTCTTATCCTATAAGCCACGACGATGTTAGCTGTCAGTGTTTTGAATTAATAATATAATTATGGTTCAAAAATCATTTATTTCAACTTAGATGTCAGTATAACACACTTGTTCATTGTGTTACCATTGTTCATAATGAAAGCAATCATTCCGATTCTTTCTGACCGTCAACCAGGCGTATTTTTTTCATCACATAGATTAATGTATAACATAGATTTTCACGAACCATATCGTAGCACTAACAATTATCAGTAATTAATTATGTACATATATTATTATGGCTAGTGAGATTTTACGAAAATAAGTGAGAATATTTTGCATCATCCAAGTCGATTATGATATCATATATGAAATAATAGAGTAAAAACAAATACTGGTGGTAGCGGTGGTGGTACCCTCTTCCTTACTAACGTTTTTTCCGTGGTAGGAAGACGGGCACACGTTCCACCTGGTAAGTAGTCACCGTAGTAAAGTGGAAAGCCAGCAACGCCATTGCTTACTGCAACAATATTTTTTAATTATTTAGACGAGTGAGAGACGAGACAAAGTCCGGGCCCATCTGGTATTAAGTGGTCACTAGAGCCCATAGATTTTTTTTTGATACAATTTTTCCTTATTAGGAAAGGCAAGGGGATATAAGCCCATACAGCCTTGCCTGTTGTATATAATTTCTGAAATAAATTTTCAAAAAAGCCGAAGCCAGGTCTTATATGATTTATATTATATCCTGAAATAAAAATTTCATTAAGGCAGAAGCCAAGTCCTTTATAATTTCTTCCTGAAATAAAACCCAGAGACATCGTAACCTTAATGTATTTTGTATTTTGTATTTTGTACCGTATGTTCCATGGGGAGTGCTCTGAGGAATTGTTCGAGATGATACCGGCATCTCGTTTTTACCATCGCACCGCCCGCCACCGGAGTAGAGTTCATCCATACTACCTGGAGCCACTGCGGTCATCCACAGTGCGTTTCCAGAGATCTTTTTTGCCACGTACCATCCGGCTATGGAATGAGCTCCCCTCCACGGTGTTTCCTGAGCGCTATGACATGTCCTTCTTCAAACGAGGCTTGTGGAGAGTATTAAGCGGTAGGCAGCGGCTTGGCTCTGCCCCTGGCATTGCTGAAGTCCATGGGCGACGGTAACCACTCACCATCAGGTGGGCCGTATGCTCGTCTGCCTGCAAGGGCAATAAAAAAAAAAAAAAAATAATGCCACTATCGATCCCTAGATATGAGTTCTAAGTCTCAGTATTAAAGTATAACAGCTGCCCCGCCCTTCATATAGCAATGCATTACTGCTTCGTGACAGAATAATAGAATAGGCAGAGTACTGGTATTTGCTTGTGCTGGCTCACACCCCCAATGAATGATCTACAGTAAATCCACATTAGTTCCAGTAGTACCAGTCGACAACGCAAATATTTTTATAGTTCTTGGTTTACAAGGTCCTCGCACCTAAGGGGCACGTGGAGAAAAGCTTACCCGAGATCAAAATGTAAATAGCCCAACGTGGGTCTCGAATGACGACTCTGAGATTATGAGTCTCATGCTCTGACTAAGTTATCCGGGATTTTACAAAGGGAATGTCACATCTCAACAATTTAAAAAAAAAAATGATTTCGTTGCGTTGTACGTTTCATGGAAGAAATGTCACCCTCTATTACGAAATGATTAAGCTCTATGAATTTTACTTCTTTTACTTAATCAAAGAACGAACAAAAAAAAAGCATTTGCACTTAAGTGTATAATCTATGATTTGCACTACGCGATTAAAAAAAGATCATATCTGTACATAACAACTAACAAACTGTTTAATAACTGGAATCAATAAACAACACAATTCAACACACTATTAGAGACAGTTTACAATTAAAGCCATGTTTTAGCTGTGACGAAAATAATCTAACCGAACTTTAAGTTGTAGTTTAAGTTAAATTGTAAATTCTAACCTCTACTACATTATGAATTTGGAAGAGAAAATAAAAGAAATAGGTTCAATATGTATTCCTGGAATGCGATTGAGTTTATCAAACAAAGACAACGTATCAGGGCCGGGAACCTATGAATTGAAAGGATATATTTATGCGGCTTTAGCTGGAATCCTGAAAACAGAAGAGGATGAAAACACCAAAGTAAATAACGTTACAGTCTTTGTATAAGCTGCCACTGATTGCTAAAGCGATTTTATTGCAACCGTCATCCGTGCCTCTTTAATTGGGACTTAAAATGCCCATAAATATGCTCTGCAAAACACTACATTACCATGGACGAAGATAGGTACTGTAGCTTAACAGGTATATCATATGGAATTTACTGCCTGTAGAAGACACTTATGGACATTCGGTTTTATGGTCTTTAGTTTAGGCTTGCTCACTATTCCAAGCAGACGCTACTTTTAGCAGCAGAATTTTTTTTTGTGCAATAGCAGATGAAATTCTAAATTCACCCCAGACAACAAAATAGAAAATGAAACAAATGAAAAGACCTATAAATTAAACTAATGATTGAAAATTTTCAGGCTAATATAATTTCAGTAGAAAGTTCAAGAACACCAAGTGTTTTACCCAACACAGGTGACATAGTAACCGCAAAAGTAACAGTTGTAAATCCAAGAACTGTACAATGCCTAATCCTCTGTGTTGGCCCTTCAGTACTTGTTAGAATGTACAAAGGAATATTAAAGAAAGAAGATATAAAGGCAACAGAGAAAGACAGAGTTGATCCATATAAATGTTTTAGACCTGGAGATATTATACTAGCCAGAGTTGTATCCTTTACAATATTATAAACTTGTTAGTATTCAAAAAACATTTTCACTTTTAATAATGACTTACTCTTTGTTTGTATTTGACTCATTAGATGGGTCTTTACATTATGTACTAACCTTATAGTTTGCCTGCCACATGAAACACTTGAGCATTGAGGGATTTTGGAGTCACATTTGCTTAGAAATTATGATTATACTGCAAAATAGAATGCAGTTATGGTTTTGTATAACATCAAACTCTATGTCTACTCAAGCTTGAAAAATACATCTATTAAATTCACTGAATATTAAATAATATATAATCATTTTCCTAAACTGGAATTCAGTTACCAATGACGGAAATCCACTGGTACCAATTATCGACTGCAGAAAATGAACTGGGAGTTGTTATCGCTACAGCTGAAGGATCACCACAAGGGGTCAGCATGGTACCAATAAGCTGGTCAGAGATGCAGTGCCCTAAAACTCTAGTCAAAGAACCAAGGAAAGTTGCTAGAGTTATACCGGAAAATATAAATCAATCACTCTTTCCAGTTCATTCAAAGCAAGACAATCATCATACTGATAAATAATTTTAATTTCAATTACAGACTTGTTTTATTTAATTAAATTTTAGGCAAACAATGTATTTATAAAAAATTATATTAACTCGAATCTATTTCTGAAACTTGGATTGTTGATTATGAGAGTAAAACTATTACCAAAGTCAAGGGTTAAAAATTAAATTTTGCTGACAGTTGAATACTCGCAAACTCTGGGTATTAGTTTGGCTGTAAACAAGCACATTGGTTTGAGGCTAAGGTAGTACCCCTGAACACCAGCTGTACCGCTTCGGCGGCCTTGTTAACATATTCGTTTTTCTGGGTTACTCCCACGGACTGCATTCTTCAAGCAGCAACAAAACATAATAACTAAAAGTTTAAGTGTACTTTTTTCACCTTGAAGGATTGACATCATGTAATAAAAATCAAACCTGTAAAAATTTTAATTTCCATAATAATTGGTTTTCATTTCCATTGGCTTATTTTTTCCTGAAGCGTTAGGTAATGAGTTACAGTTGTACAGACTGTAAGGACACATGTCTTAAGAAAGGACGGCAGTTGATAATATCTGTAGTAGTGGTGGGCAAATATTTTTAATGGCAGGCCACAAAGTTTAAGAAATTCTAGAGGAGGGCCAGAATTATAGAAAAAATGCATTTTGTATTAAAGCATTTTAATAAACAAAATACCTTTTACTATTACGCCTTATTTGGCGTGTGGGACGTGAGGTGTGTGATAGATGGTGATGGAGGTGAAAATAATGGTTTTTTGCCAATAAATAAACTAATACCTGTGAGAGACTGCCGAGATAATTATAATGATGGCAAGTTAATTAAATTAGATAATGAAATAATAAATGAGATAATGAAAGCTCAAAACACCCTTGACGAATAGGAACTTTCATTAAAAATTCGAAGATTTTCAATTATAAACGACAGACTTTATTTTACGCGCCAAAATGCTGACTACGGATGTATCCATACAGTCTATAAAGACTGGATCTCGGATGCATACTTTGTGTTGTAGTTTTCACTAAAGTCACTATGTACAATGCATTCTTCTGTAGTTACATTTTCTTTTAACTGTTTTATGTGATTATATTGTCCTGTAATATTTCCACAGTGGCGCATGTTTTTTTTTTATTGCATTGATGGGTGGACGAGCTCACAGCCCACCTGGTGTTAAGTGGTTACTGTAGCCCATAGACATCTACAACGTAAATGCGCCACCCACCTTGAGATATAAGTTCTAAGGTCTCAGTAAAGTTACAACAGCTACCCCACCCTTCGAACCGAAACGCATTACTGCTTTACGGCGGAAATAGGCGGGGTGGTGGTACCTACCCGGGCGGACTCCCAAGAGGTTCTACCACCAGTGATTACGCAAATTATAATTTTGCGGGTTTGATTTTTATTACACGATGTTATTCCTTCACCGTGGAAGTCAATCGTGAACATTTGTTGAGTACGTATTTCATTAGAAAAATTGGTTCCCGCCTGCGGGATTCGTACACCGGTGCATCGCTACACACGAATGCACCGGACGTCTTATCCTTTAGGCCACGACGACTTCTAAGGTTCTGTAAGGTTCTAATAGTTTATGAAACTGTTCAATGATGTTTCTGGGAAACGCTACGACTTTCTCTTTAATTGTTTGAAGAGTAGATTTTTCTTGGCTATCTTTGAAGTAAGATTTTTTTACCTTTTTCCAAGTCCAGTCTCTTTAGAGTTATCAAATTCCTTAAAAGTTATTTGTTTATCTTTGCACAGTACACAATTTCTGGACAAACAATCACCAATTCTGCTATCGCAACACAAAGATTGTAGGATTTGGGTAGTGGATTTCTCTTCAATAAGATTATTTTTTTCGTAAAGCTGTTACCACCAGTTCCATGTTCTCATGAACCTTACATAAGCAGGTGTCTCGAATATTCACGCTTGCTATGCGAATCCAAAATGGTCGGAGCTTACAAAAACTGCTATAGCTTATCTTGTATTGAGAAGTGGCAATGTACTTTTTGTGTAAATTTTTTAAAGAGTCTGTGAGATATCGTTTCTGTTTTTTTATTTTTCCTTTTGATACAAATTCGTTTTTTCCTGGACAAATCCTGCTATTTTCGTCTTCTTCTAAAAAAATTATAATGTCTTCTTTAGCTTTACTACAAATCGACTCAAAGTGTAATTTCTTATTTTCAGACACGTCTATCTCTTGTATTTTTTGTTCATGTTGGTTGTGTGCATTTTTGAACTTTCTAAATCTATGCCATCGCTGTAACAACTTTTTATAGTTCTCATTCATTCTTTTAAGGTCTCGAATTTGTTGGTCTTTGATTCGTAGCTCTGCGCGGTATCGGTATATATATTTGCATAAGAGATGTTTCCAGGGAGATTTCTTCTTCGCAGATATTTTTTGTTGAGCAGTTTGTACACATTTTGGGTTTTCAATGTGAGTAGGTATACCAGTAATTGAGGTATTGCTTTGTGGACTGAGTGATCTGGGTGAGTCAGATATGGAACTTGTTGGACTATATACCTGAAGAAATCTTTTTGAATCAGGTTTTGGAGATATTGGGGACTGTAGTTGTAAAGAAATCGCTGAATCTGGTTCAGGAGTTATTGAGGAACACATCGTAGATGACCTTGATAAATTGAATACTGTAGCGTTTGTAGAAAGCACTCTGGACTTTCGTGAAACCGATTTATAATTCTTTGGGGAACGCACCCAGAGAGATCTAATCGGGACTGATGCTGGTGTTGGCGGTGAAGGCGATTTTATCGGCCTAGATGGACTTGAGATTTCTTCTTCTCTCTTTGGAGTCAAACTAAAAGGGTCGCTCATAATAATATTTGCATTGCTAACTACATCAACAATTTGTTTTTCTGTCTGTTCTTTTAATTTCTTTTTGTAGTACGATTTTTTTGAGCTTTCTCTACTCTTTTTTCTTTGATTTTTTTGTTCTCTAGGCGTTAAATTGCTAACTGAAAGAATCTTACCTTCTCTCTTTCTTTTTAAATAGGATTCTTGCATTTTAACTCGCCATAAAGCATACTTTTCTGGATCTTTCCGTATGTTTTCCATCCTAATACGTTCTGCAATTTTTTTCTTCTGTCTTTTTTCTTCCTTAGATAGTATTGGTGGCATTTTTGTGTACTGTAATATAAAAACGAAGATTACAAATTTATTAATAATTATACCTAAAAATGCCTTTAAATAAGACTGTCTCAATTTTGACAACATGCAGGCATTTGCCACTACAGTAGTTAGATCACTGAAGTAGGAAACCTAGGTCTATGAGTTAGATAAACAAATAATACACTGTTTGACACATGCCTGAAATTTCAATATTTTAAGGGATTTCAAGTTACAGATAATTACTAGAAAAGTGATATTTTATACCTTACTAGCTGACCCGGCAAACGTTGTCTTGCCATATATAAGATTTCTAGAGAATTTCTAGTGTAGAAAAAAAATTACTAACTTATTGGAAGTGTATAAGGATGTGGAATATGAGTGAAAAAGGCCTGGAACGATGAGGGAATGTTGTTTAAAAATAACAAAACACCAAACATTAATTGTTTTCATTTATTAAAAGTGATAATTATATATATAATTAATTCATTACATAATATTAATCTCTTAATGCTGCAGCGTGAACAATATTTTTTGTTAGCCCGTCTTTAGCTAATACAAACAAACTTGATGGTTTACCCACTCCAGAGCATGCAACGTATAATTGTCCGTGTGAAAAACATGGTGTGCTCAAATCTAAGCCACAAACAGACATTGTTTGGCCTTGGGATTTATTAATAGTCATTGCAAATGCCAATCTAATCGGAAATTGAATACGCTTAAATTGAATTGGTACATCTGTGGGTATAATAGGTATTCGTGGTATCAATATATTTAGCTGACCCGGCAAACGTTGTGTTGCCTTAAATAAGATTTCTAGGGAAATTATAGTCTAATATATAAAATTCACAAAAACCTCATTCAACCACATAATATAGTAAGCGGCACGTAAGTTGGCAAGGTTTTGGTGTAGTGGGGGTAATGTCGCGCATAGTGTACATTGCAACAAAAAAATGGTCACTTTTATGGCCCGCATATATGTTAATTTTATTTTATTAAATTTTTTATTTGCCATAATTTATTTTTAAGCCTGTGTGTTTAGAAGAAAGTTAAAGAAAAGAGAGGAATTCGTGAAGTGTATTAGGTGTTATAAATAAAATACAATTAAAAGTTAAAAAGTTCATTTAACAAAATATACTTAATATTAAAAATTATGTGTCGCCGTCGTCACTATCATTTTCTAATAGTGCTACCCCTTGGATTAAATTTATGGTAGGACCTGAGCTGGTGGAAGGAGTTGGCTCCTCATCGTCGACATAACGAAGAGTCGCTGTCGTCAGATAATCCCCAGCGCGTAACTTGGCAAGAGTCGCTAGATGCGCAGAAGTCGTTTTTTAGGTCTCTTTGGTTGTCAAGCGGGACGCGGGGAAAGACGTAGCACCGTTCCGAGCGCGCGATTGGTGAGTCAGTCGACTCTCCCCTCCCGCACCGCGTCCACGTTCCGTTCGCTCCCGGTTACACATGTGCCTACTAAAGTTGTAGGAACCCTTTGTTTATATTGAGTTTTTGTTACGAGTTGTTATTATTATTTTATTTTAAATTTAGTTTTTGTTACGAGTGTTATTGTTTTAAATTTGTTTGCAATGGCAGGACCAAATACCAATGACCATAATTATAGTCGATTCAGTCACTGAGCGTTTTATTATTTACGCCAG